TTAGTACTTTATTATCCAAGTCGGTACTTAATCAGTTTTATCATACTTAATATCTGAAGATACATTTTAAGTAAGGTTTTTTCTTTAATTATGGATTCATATAATGCCCCACATGTTTAGCTCTTCTTATTATATTGATTTAAAAGTATAAGCAGCGTATAAACGATAATATTACGACTTTTTTAAATGGTTTTAAGTACGTTTGAGAGAAAATTCTCAAACTGTAAAAAATCACAGGATTTTTCAATGGAAATCTAGGCTTGTTGAAAATATATCGATGTATCGATATTTTTTGTTCGATATATCGATATTTTTTGCCGATATATTTTGATTCGATACATCGATACAAAATAACCAATATTTAAATTCGTATCAAAAACGATATTTTTTAAATAAAACTAGTTTTTACGGGTTAATGCACGAAACTTTATTTATTTATTGACGTTTCGCAGCCTTTTCAGGTCTGCATCGTCAGAATAATGATTTTTTATTTAAAATTGTCGAGCTACCTTCGAAAGACTTATATTGAGCGTTCGGTTATTTCATTGGAAGATTTTTAAAATTTTATTGTCTATGTATGAATTTATTATTTAATTTACTTAATAAAGTATTTTATTTAAAATTCTTGTTTGTAATTTTGAGTTTATTTATTTATTTGACCCTAACTACCGTAAACTACCACCGGTTCCAAAATTGGGAGACCTTCCTGAGAAGAACCGGCGAAACAAACTCAAGAGAGGCTTTCTATCTCCTTCTTATGTTAAATTATGCAAACAAAAAGAACTAATAGTATCTGATGGTCTTGCAGTGTGTGCTCGGGGTTGGGATTTTATCTCCTGTATAATAGGTTCCCAAGCAGGTGGTATATACCAACCATCTTCCCTATTGAAATTTGGATATTTTTTAATCTCTATAGCCTCGCGCATCATTCGAGGAACGAACCGCCGCTCAGCTGCAAGGATCTGTGGTCTATCAAATCTAATGTAGTGGTTTGGTCCCCCTAATGCATGTTCACACACTGCAGATTTATTTTCGCGCCTATGTTTCATATCTGCGATATGTTCTTTTACCCGAGTCCCTATACTGTCAATAAATAAATAAAGTTTCGTGCATTAACCCGTAAAAACTAGTTTTATTTAATGAGTGATGTGCGTGAAAACCTAAGAAACAAATACGATATTTTTTTTAATTATTAGCGCCATATCACCATCTAACTAAATTCGTCTCTGGAAAAATCGTAACTGGATCTCAGATTAATGATATTCAACATTTCAACATATCTATGATCTGTGCTGTATTTAGTATTGTCTATGTCATCATTCGAAAATAGGGTCTATTTTTAGGGAGATAATTTTCGTTCCATTATAATAATAACGCGGAATACCGCGTGTGATATTTCGTGAGCTACTGTACGATATTTTTGGGAAAATTGGTCCGATATATCGATATATCGATGTTTTTTTCGCGATATATCGAAGCCGATATTGATATTTTTAAAAGATCGATGTATCGATATATCGATATTTTTCTCAACTTTCGACATCCTTATGGAAATCAAGCCTTTTCTCTGGACTTATGATTTTATCACCTGGTAACCCTAGGCACGCCGGGCTGTAGTAGTAGCTGACAGTTACCGACTCGTACTTGGGGGTGGAGGAAGTTACACGTAGAAATCTTGACGGCGATAGTGCACTGTAGCTTCGGTGAACAAAACTCCCAGTGTTCGGTATTGAAGAAATCGGTGGGCGCTGGCTGGTAATGGATGGCCGGTGAGAGGAGGCTTCAGGTCCAAAGTGAACCGCTTGTTTCTTCCTGTTCCTTTAGGGTAGGAGCGCCTGTCGCTGAATGCATGTCGGAGCCTGTTCCGACTGGAATTTTATATGCGCGGACTGAGCTGGCCAGCGATCCAATACCTCAACCCCGCTATGCTTTATTTCTCATTTATTCAAAAAATACATAGGTGCGAGCTTAAAACTATATGTACATACATTTGGCATATAAATAGGCATATTTTTAGCGCAGTTACCGCGTCCGTAAACATCATATTTTAGGTGTGGGGCGCAAAAATTTTTTTTTTTTTAGTGTGTATGCTGTTGGTCGCAGATGACCTTTACAGCGTCACCGGGTTTGGGGACGGCGAGATCCTAAGGGGACCTCAAGCCGAGATTTGGCGAGTGCCTCTGGAGGTATTCCAGTCGGATGGCGTCTCTCCACGGGGGGAGTCTCCACTCCATCTGGAGCCTCCAGACCACTCGAACCTGAGGGGGTCGGCTCAACTAGAGGGCGTCTCTGAGACTCGGACCTCGGCTCAAGTTAGCCGTTGTCGTGGGGTACGCGCAAAAAATAGGTCTCCGCGATATTTATACTTTCCCCCTCCATAGGGCTTCGCCCGCCACAGGGCTTCGCTGCCCCACCCACGCGCTCCGTGTGCGTCGAGTGGGGAGCGCGCTAAGTTCGTTCTATACAAACTAATTTTATCTTATATTCGGTACATTTCTATATTTATTGATTTGATGCCTATTTATTTATGTAGTCCTATGCGTTATCTATCTAATACAGTAATTTTCTAATAAGAATAATGATAAACAATGGTTCTATAGCCCTATAAAGTTTAGAAATGAAAAGGTCTCTAAAAACCGACTTAGACTCATTTAATACCTAACTATCATACCTTATTCTATAGGGCAAATGAAAACACACAAAATAAAATCTTTATTGTCAAAATTATACCTATAACTAACTTAATATTCACCAAAAACTATATTTAACATTTGCCTTAATTCATCAGCATCATCATCATCATCAGCCTTATAATATCCCCACTGCTGGGGCACAGGCCTTCCCTATAGATGGAATAGGGAGATTGGGCCATGACCCACCACGCGGGCCCAGTGCGGATTGGTGGGTGCTAACGACTGCTGATGCAGCCGGGACCAACGGCTTAACGTGCCTTCCGAAGCACGGAGGAGCTCGAGATAGTGAATTTTTGGTCACCCATCCAATGACCAACCACTCCGAAAGTTGCTTAACTTCAACGATCGCAGCCGAACGCACTAACCACTTGCGCCATCGAACTCCTCAATTACACCTAAACTATTATAGTAATCTATACGAAACTTCGCTATCCTAATCCTATAGCTACCTATTATCTAACAAAACACAAAACAAACCAATTCAAACACAATAATATAATATTTTCGAAAGTTAACAATTCATACAAAATCTTATAAGATTGCTAGAAAGAGGCAGCCTATCGTCCCTATCTTTCCTATCGTTCCGAACTATCAGATTCTAATACAGTTTCTCAGCGCCACCGCTTGGCGTCGTGGCAATCGATTAGGCAAATTCTTATAAGATCATCGGTTAGAAAGAGACAGAACATCGTTTTGAACTATCAATTTTACAATCAGTAACTATGGGCAAAATTCTCTATTATTACAATACTAGCAAACCAGTGAACCAAATGTTCACCAAAACCTGATTTAAAAAAAAAAAGTATTTAAGTAATTGAGAATTTCGGAGATTTTGTGTGGTTTCGTATGAAATTCGTGATTTCTCGAAAACCGGAAGTGCTACGTTACTCAAATCCGGTTCGTAGTCTTATCAGACTATTCTTAACTTATAACTTAAACATTCTCTTTATCTATCTCTTACGGTTTGGCCGCTGAAACAGCACCACAGACGGACGGACGGACGGACTTGTCTAATAGAGAGATTCGGCTCATTCTAATAAAAACGAATACGAAATAATGTATTTAATGACCGTACACATCAGTTACATGTGAAATTGCACTTATAGATATATTTTCGTTAGTTCACAAACCAGTCTTGTTTCGATGTTTCACTTGCACACGTAAACTTTATTTCTTCTCGCTTCGGTCGTAAGGCGGTCGTCTCGTACAGTATACAAATATTAATTTAAAATTTGATAAAGTTACAATAGGATAACAATTTAAGATATTTTACGATAGAAGTATACTAAACATATAAGTATCTCTTATCTATTAGACAAGTCCGTCCGTCTGTGGTGCTGTTTCAGCGGCCAAACCGTAAGAGATAGATAAAGAGAATGTTTAAGTTATAAGTTAAGAATAGTCTGATAAGACTACACACCGGATTTGAGTAACGTAGCACTTCCGGTTTTCGAGAAATCACGAATTTCAAACGAAACCACACAAAATCTCCGAAGTTCTCAATTAATTAAATACATTTTTTTTTAATTGGTGAACATTTGGTTCACTGTTTGCTAGTAATGTATTAAGCCGCATATTTGCATCATTTTTCTGTTATACAATACTTCTTTTAGTAATGAAACTGATAAGCTACACATGTATATATATATATATAAGATACATATACATACATATAGTTAATGAGCCTTGTAGAGTAAGGGCGTATAGAGCTAGAAACTTGGCTAGCATAGGTATTCTGTAAGTTGTTATCTCACTTACGATCTGGAGCTCTACTCTCTTTCTCCGAAACGAAATAGGGTATTTGACAAGTTTTAGAAAACGATCTCACGTCATTGACTAATGTTTATGGAGTCCGTAAAAAGTGGATATTCATCATTCTGTTGTGTATTTCAGTAAAAATAACCAAATCAATAACTCATATTTCAAGTTGCCGTGACAACGTTTCTCTGGACAATATGGCGTCTTACTAGTGTGTGACGTCACACGACTGTTATTAAAACGTCAAACGATACAATGTAATGTCCCTTTAACCGGAAGTTTACTTGCGTGTGACGTCATTTTAGGCTCCGCCAATCCCAAGCGTTTTAGGTCACGTGACAATAGATAAGAAAACTATTATTTTTTCCGTGGGTTTTTAGTAAAATTATGAATATTTTTTTTGTAAAAATAGTAAAAACGCCTTCCAATATTCATTTTAAACACAGATGCTATGATGCTAAAAATTGGCACTTTATTTTTAATACTGTCAAATACCCTATTGGTGTGTGTTGGAAATATTTATTTATATATTTTCATTTATTATTTCAGTGACAGCGGCGTACCAGGAGCCTTTCCCTGGATGGATCGACAACATATTCGGCGTAACAGGTAATTATTAATTCAACATACTTGCGATATAAATTGTTGGAAATCTAAAAGCTCCGCAGGGTAAGGGGTAGGGTTCAGTACCCCTAGCACGAACCAATATCGAATTCGTATCGTTTGCGAGTCCGAAATGTCATTGTCAAATGTATACTGATTTTTAGTTCTCGTTACGTACTTTGTGCCGCTGCTGTTCAAGTTTCCATACAAAATTTGACATTGACATTTCGGTTTGCAAACTATTCGAATTCGATATTGGTTCGTGCTAGGGGTACTGTACCCCTATGAATGCGAATAGTTTGCGAGTGCGAAATGTAAATGTTAAATTTTGTATGGAAACTTGAACAGCAGAGCCACTAAGTACGTGACGAGAACTGAAAATCAGTATACATTTGACAATGACATTTCGGACTCGCAAACGATACAAATTTGATATTGCTAAAGGTATAGGACGGCAAGGTGAGGATTTAAGAAAGAATGAAATGAACAGCCACAAAACGCTGCCACCGGCATATTTCTTGTAGTTTTCATACATTTTATATGGACTCGCCACACACTGTACGCCGGTGGCCGCCACACGCTACAAATCGTCGTTGCTCGCTTCTTGTGGCCCGCACCGGCCACTAAATGCGCCGATACAAAACGCCGCCGTCACTCGCGCGTTTCCCCACCCCTCTCTCCCTTACCTTAGTCGGCCGCTGTCGCGTGCTTCAGCCACTTTAGTATCCGCTTCTAGCTTCTCGTGGCGGCGTTTGTGGCTGTGGCGTGTGGCCCGTGTGCGGCGACACTAAGACATAAAAGCAATATTAATATAATAAATAAAATAAGACTATTTAATTGTGTCTCATATTGGTCCTGATTCAGCACAGTGCTTCTTCCGTTCGAGTTAAAGATCTAAACGAAATGATTTGTAGTTATTTTGCGATATAGTCATTAATAGGGGTAAGTCACACAGCGATTAGACAATCTGAGATCAACCCACATGATTTTGTGTAAATGTTGCTATTAAGCGATTCAAATAAGAATAGGAAAGCCAATGACCTCCATCTGTCAAATGTAGCTTGATAAGTACGGTTTGCAAAGAAATTTTGGAACATTTTCTTTTTAGCACTGAGCTAATTAATCTTAGAATAAATACCAAACATTTGTAAACAAAAGAAGGGAATAAATCATACAAATGAAACGTATAGAAAATCAGTACTGTAAAACTTTACTTTTATTATAAATACAGGTAAAAAAACACGGTTTTCGTACCAAGTGCCACAAAAAGCGAACATAACAATAGTCATTTTTAATCTGTTAAAAACAGGGAAAGAAAATTGTACTGAATTTCATTCATCCTTTAGGGGGAGAATGTGATTTAAATTTGGAATACTTACCGAAATTTATACTGAACTACATCTGTGTTTACACCATTGAGTTTGTATATAAAGCATTATACATCTTTTTGAAAAAGGAATACGCATATCTCATATTATTATTGTGTTAATTTTTTCGCAAATGGTACGAAAAGTAGAGTATTTTCCTCGGTGATAAAGCTGTCTTAGTCTTGGGTGAACTTAAATCCCTCGCTACACTCAGGACTCGCCTTAAATCCCTCGCTTCGCTCGCGATTTAAATCGTCACCCGCGACAGAAGACACTGCTTCATCCCCTTGGTTAATAATCTACTATTTTATTTTAAATAAAGTTGTCATTTTAAAACCTACAATAATGGATATTTTATTTTATATCCGAAAGAATCAGTGATGATAACTACTCCGACAGTAGAGCAGAGATGAGCGGAATTAAAGAGCTAGATTCTGATTAATGTTTTTTCTCATTCAGTCTTAATAAATAATTGACGACCTCCGTGGCCGAGTGGTTTATACGCCGGGTTTCATGGCGTCGCCGACTCGAGAGGTCCCGGGTTCGAATCCCGGTGGGGGCAGATGTTTGTGTGATGAATACGAGCATTTGTACTCCAGTCATGGATGTTTAATATGTATTTCATATAAATATACTTATATATGTACAATATATGTATTCTATCCGTTACCCTAGTATCCCATAACACAAGCCTTTACAGTGCTTACTTTGGGGCTAGGCTAATTGGTGTGAGTGTTGGAAATATTTATTATTATTATTATAAATGAATATTATTAAAAATCAGCAATTTTTATGATTTTGGTATATAAATTTTATTAAAGAATAACTTTTTTGTTCACTCTACCTAACTAGTTTTCATTGACAGCTATGACGTCACAATATGGCGCCCAGTCGGTCCTATTCTTAGTTGAATCGCATTTATACTTCTTGTAAAATGCTGATGAGTTTCTTGCGCCCATTCTTCTGATCAGCTAATAGATGTCCTGAATGTAGAGAAAAATATTGGACGATTCAAATAGAGATTTCAATAAGTCAATCATCGTCATCATCATCAGCCTATTAATGTCCCCACTGCTGGGGCACAGACCTTCCCTATGGATGGAATAGGGAGATTGGGCCATGACCCACCACGCGGGCCCAGTGCGGATTGGTGGGTGCTAACGACTGCAAATGCAGCCGGGACCAACGGCTTAACGTGCCTTCCGAAGCACGGAGGAGCTCGAGATAGTAAATTTTTGGTCACCCATCCAATGACCGATCACTGCGAAAGTTGCTTAACATCAACGATCGCAGCCGAACACGCTAGCCACCTGCACCATCGAGCTCCTTCAATAAGTCAATATGAATAAATTATAATTTAATTTCATTGTTGTTTCCAAGGTCTGATCATGGAGATAGGTCGGGGCACCTACCGCTCAGGGTACTGCAAGGAAGGATACGTGGTAGACCTGGTACCAGTGGACCTGGTCATTAACAGCTGTATCCTGGCAGCTTGGAGGCAGGGCAGCAAGAAGTGAGTTCTTTAAACCTTTTATCTTATCATCAGAAGAAAGATAGAAAGAAAATATTTTATTCGGTGACACAAGTAATATATGAAACGTTGTACCTGACTTTTTGCTTTATTTACAAACAATCGCAACTTGATTTGTTGCACTTTGATCGCCTTTGGATTCGCTCCGAAATCGCTTTTGAAACTCAACTGTGTCTGCTCGGCGCCAATCGCGCTTATATACGCGGATCGACGTATTCTAGAAAGTACCCGTTAAATTGAGAGTTACCTAGCTTCCGCGAGTACATAGTACCTACTTATACCTACGCAGGTAACGCGCATAACTTGTAAACAAATGCAGATGTCGTTGCACTCTCTCCCTTACACCGCACTGCATAAGACTCATTTTAAAATGAGCCGCATTACTCGACCTCTATCCGCGACCCGCAGTGCTCTGGCAAATTCGATCTCTGGCACTTTCGCGGTTACGTTAGGGATGTCGAAAGTTGAAAAAAATATCGATATATCGATACATCGATATTTTAAAAAATATCAATATCGGCTTCGATATATCGCGAAAAAAACATCGATATATCGATATATCGGACCAATTTTCCCAAAAATATCGCTCACGAAATATGACACGCGGAATAATAATGGAACGAAAATTATCTCCCTAAAAATAGACCCTATTTTCGAATGATGACATAGACAATACTAAATACCGCACAGATCATAGATATGATGTATATCATTAATCTGAGATCCAGTTACGATTTTTCCAGATACGAATTTAGTTAGATCGTGATATGCCGCTAATAATTAAAAAAATATCGTTTTTGATACGAATTTCGATATTGGTTATTTTGTATCGATGTATCGATATATCGAATCAAAATATATCATCAAAAAATATCGATATATCGAACAAAAAATATCGATATATCGATACATCGATGTATTTTCAACAAACCTAGGTTACGTTTCGAGAGCGTTTGTGACACTATGATCTGTTAAGTGATCTGATCCAAAACCTCACAGTGAATCGCGATATATTGAGTTTTCGTGATATATCACTAATACTTGTCCATCTTCGGAGAGAAATATTATTTCAGCCCTTTGCTCCAGGGTCAAACTTGTTATTTTATTTCGTTATGAAAATATTATTCGTAAAATTTTGCTCTTGTCCAAACAATGCTCAAACAATATTTTTTTTATAAATGTTATTTCAGCAAAGAAAGACATGAGTTTTAATATCAAAAAGTAATTAAAAATTGTTTTTGTATTCTCGATGCGTCATATTGCATAATTACTTTTGAAAGGTAATAAGTAACTTGATAAATGGCATTTTAGACTTTAGTGAAAAAAGTGTGACATAGAATCTAATTTCAAAACTGGTAAACGTTTTCTGACCGCGACCGTATATTGATTTCTGATTTCTAACGCAGTTAGTCATTTCAACAGTATTTTTGAAGTTATACTTCTTTAGGCGCGTTATGAAAATATTGATGAGAGTGAAATTTTAAGATGCGCGCGCATCACTGTAACACAAAAAATTAACAGCATGAAGTTGGTCGCTTTAGCTACCAACTTCATGCTGTTACTTTTGTGTTTACCGGACATTAAGAAAAATCTACCAACAAAATAGAAATAGAATCTCTATTTAGTGGGTGCTAACGACTGCATTGTGAAGGCCTATCAAAAGTATTTATTAATCTGGAACAACGGAACCAAAGCGCGATTCAGGAGACTACAGCGCCATCTCTTGACCATTGGTGTAGTAGAACCAAAAACCACATCTTTATTTTTCAATGTTACTTTTATGTCATTATAGTAATAAATTAACAGTTATAGGTATTCATATTTATAATATTTATCCACATGTTTCTAGTTTGTATATTCGGAATACGTGTTTGAGTTTCATACAAGTGCAAATCACATATGTTGTAATAAATTATATTCAGTAGCGATTTTAATTGAATATTTTAATTATTTATTTATTTTTTCAAATTAAAACTGAACTTTATTGACTGTGTCCTTTTCCAGACTTTTTATTAATTTATTGTAATTAATTATTTGCATGCAATTAAAAACTAATTTTAAACGATGCCAAAGAAGGATAACTTCTCACGCGCCTACATAAGTACACGCACCCATTTTTTTTATGTTATATGTATTCATCTATATTCTAACTGATGTAATGGAAGGTGACTTCAGAAGTATATCTGAAGTCAATTTTCAACTTGACGACTCTGTATATTATAAAACAGGGAGAAAAAACAGCCCTTGCTGCGTTTCTTGCCGGCTCTTCTCAGGTACAAGGTCTCTTCTCGACCTTCGCAAGTGCTTGTAAGAGCCTAGACTGAATTAATGATTTTTGAGTAGAGTTTAAGTTGACTTGCTTATGCGTTAGAAATATTTCTATATGTCATCATGTATTTGAATAAATTAATAATTAGGGAGGAGCTCGATGGCGCAAGTGGTTAGCGCGTTCGGCTGCGATCGTTGAACTTAAGCAACTTTTGCAGTGGTCGGTCATTGGATGAGTGACCAAAAATTACTCGAGCTCCTCCGTGCTTCGGAAGGCACGTTAAGCCGTTGGTCCCGGCTGCATCTGCAGACGTTAGCACCCACCAATCCGCACTGAACCCGCGTGGTGAATCGTGGCCCAATCTCCCTATTCCATCCATAGGGAAGGCCTGCGCCCCAGCAGTGGGGACATTAATAGGCTGATGATGAATAAATTAGCTGGCCTAACATTTCCCACAAAAAAATCGTTAGTTATTATCATTTTTTTTTTGTTTCATTGTTCCAGACCAGGTCGTTGCCCCGTGTACAACGTGACGTCGGGGTCCATCAATCCCCTTACGTGGGGTCAATTCACGAGGCTGTGCGTCAAGTGGGCCAGGGAGAACCCATCCAAGTTAGTATGACGAAACACTCATACAATTCTGTAGAAACCAAAATTATTCCTTTAGGATATGACATAAAAATCATCATCATTATCATCAGCTTATTAATGTCCCCACTGCTGGGGCACAGGCCTTCCCTATGGGTGGAATAGGGAGTTTGGGATATGACCCACCACGTGGGCCCAGTGCGGATGGGTGTGTGTGCTAACGACTGCAGATGCAGCCGGGACCAACGGCTTAACGTGCCTTCCGAAGTACGAAGAAGCTCGAGATAGTAAAATTTTGGTCACCCATCCAATGACCGACCAATGCGAAAGTTGCTTAACTTCAACGACTTAACTAACCACTTACGCCATCAAGCTCCTCACTAATTATACAGTGTGTTACAAAAATACAAATAAAGCTTGAAGGGCGTTGAAGTTTAATGATAAATAAAAATATCGATCATTTTAATACACGTCACTAGTTTGAGGATCATTAAAAATAACTGTTTTTATAAAAAGTTAAAACTTCATGCAAATATTTTAAGAAAATTAGAGAAGACTCCTTATATGATGTACTTCAACGCCCTTCAAGCTTTATTTGTATTTTTGTAACAACCTGTATACAAAGAACAATTATAGTTAACTAGCAAACCAGTGAACCAAATGTTCACCAAAACCTGATTTCTCGAAAACCGGAAGTGCTACGTTACTCAAATCCGGTTTGTAGTCTTATCAGACTATTCTTAACTTATAACTTAAACATTCTCTTTATCTATCTCTTACGGTTTGGCAGCACCACAGACGGACGGACGGGCGGACTTGTCTAATAGATAAGAGATATTTACAACAGCTTCCATGTAAATTTTTCCAAGCGAAAGTGTCTGAGTGTCAATTTTGACAACCATATAAATATATATATATCATATTTAAAGAATAAAGAAGTTTGATTGTTTGATTCTTACTAAACAGTTTGTATATTTGGGTCACCATTCACTCATCCCTAGGTTAAGTAGATTAATTGTTGAGCTTGTGAAGAAGGATCATACTATTGATAAAATACCAACTTTGAAAAACAAAATATTTATAATACTGGGAAAGTAGACCCTTAATCTGTTTAATATTATTGTTAATAAAATTAGTTTGCCAATAATGGGTCTGGTACGTAAGCGGTTCTCTGAACTTACGACCATATTAGGCCCTTTTAAATAATTATAGAGCATGATAGACTGTTGTGATTGTTCTGTTGTATTGTGTAGTAAATTCCGTATGTAGAAAATGTAAAAAAAAAACTGTTTACTGTTTAGCGCATGATGAGGCCATCTTTAATTACAGTTATATTATATCCTAATATTTAAGCATATGTGTAAGTTTGTTTGTATTAATATAGCTGTGTTGATGGTCCATAAATAAATAAATAAATAAAATAAATAAGTATATCAGCGAGCAATACAAGACATGAAACTAAAAATTAACGTGTCTTGTAAGAACCGCTTCACCGTTATTACATTTCAGATACGTGATGTGGTACCCAAACTTCCGTTTTACGGAGTCGCGGCTGCTGAACACATTTTGGGAGGTGTCTTGCCACTTCTTGCCGGCTTTCCTGTACGACGTACTTTTGAAAGCACAAGGCAGAAAAGCTATGTAAGTACTTGAGACTATTCTCGATTTGGCTTAGAGCAGTAACAGACAGACAACCGAGTTTATTGTGGAGCACACTTCTAATTTCTTGACTCCGTACAATCTGTTTTATTATATTATTATACAGGGAGAAAAACAGCCCTTGCTGAGTTTCTTGCCGGTTCTTCTCAGTGCAAGGTCTCCCGCCGTAGATTTGCGAACCGATGGCGTAGCTTTTCGACATTCACAAGTGCTTGTAACAGCCTAGACTGAATAAACGATATTGAATTTTGAATTTTTGAAAATTTTTATAAAAGGGTGACAAAGCATAAGGCCTGCCTGATGCTAAAAATATCACTCTTGTCGTAATCTTTCACAAAACAAACTGTGGCGGCGACATCTACATGCCCCATATATAATGAACATAGAGGAAATAGTCACTCGCCTCCATAAGAGATGGCGCTACCGGTGCTGCGTTCACAACGTATAGAAGCGTACATCGCGCAAGAGAAATTCGGAGCCGAACACTCCATATATACGATGCCCGCCCAAACTTCGGTCGGGCTCCGATTCCTCCCACACAGGCCACAAACACCAACACTACACAGCTAGCAAACTTGCACACTAGCTTAGCATTAGGCAGACACCGCACTCGTAGGATAAGCGAAGACCCGGTCTACACACGACACGCTATACCAGGTACAGGTACGAACTTGGGCGTTTTTCCCCGCCCCCCACGACGACGGCTAACTAGAGCCGAGGTCCGAGTCTCAGAGACGCAGACGGAGAGGAGACTCCCCCTGTGGGGAAACGCCATCCGCCTGGAATACCTCTAGAGGCACTCGCCAATTCTCGGCTTGAAGTCCCCTTAGGATCTCGCCGTCCCCAAACCCGGTGACGCTGTAAAGGTCATCTGCGACCAACAGCATATACACACTCAAAAAAAAACAGTCGGGTCCCCGAGCTGCCATCACACAGCTCGGAAGAAGATCTTCCCCTTTGCCCTTACTACAGTGGTGACCCCGACGTGATATCTACATGACCCTCAAAACTAAGGGATTCATTAACCGATAGCTAGGGTATGCAACGCGTATATCTCGTAAGCAGCCGCCTGTTGCATTATCTTCGGCTGAGGCAGAGTAGCTAGCGCTGCAAAAGAAGCAAAGACCCTAGAAGGGTCTTGTGAACCTCTTTCGGTGTTCTGTAATGACAACCAATACCCTACTAACTGACGAACGTTTACGTTTATACGTTTTGTAATAGGAGTGGTATTACTGTGGTCTATTGTAAGATGGGAGTTATTTCCGCAGATGGTCACTCCAATTTGAGTAGCCAATCTTCTATACCCTTTAAATAAATGAATATTTTTATAACGACAAAATTATCTTTCCCAACAGCATGATGAAGCTAGCCCGCCGATTCAAAATGGCCGCCGCGATGGGCGAATACTTCGCGAACCACGAATGGCAGTTCGGCATATCGGAGCTGACAGCTTTGCACAACGAAGCAAGCGCTACTTCTGATTCTAGAAGCTTCTTCCACTGGCCTGCGCAGTTCAGCTGGGAGACATACATAGGGGCTTACATACTAGGCATAAGGAGGTTTATACTCAAGGATACGCAGGAGTCTTTGCCGGCAGCGAGGACTAAGTTAAAGAGGTATAGTATTTTTGTAGATATAAAAAGCACGATAAATAAATTTGCGGTCCGCCTGATAGTCCAGTCAGTATTGTCGCGAAATCCGTTTTTCCTCAAACAGCTGGAACTATGCTAAAAAGTTTCTTAAGATAGTAAAGAACACTTTACATAGAGAAAAAAATGTTTCCAACCCCGGGCAAGGGTGAAAACCACCCTTAATAATCTATTTTTCCAATTATCTCAAAAAGTATACGAGATACGGAAAAAAACTTCAAATGAAAATTGTAGATCTTTTTGAAATCTACAAAACATTATTCCACCCTCTTGCCCCTATTTTCAATAGGGGAGCCAATAATCGAAGTCAAAGATTCAATACTTAAAAAGTTAAAGTTAGTTAAAAAAGTTATCTAAAGTTATCTAAGTTATCTTAATGTAATGTAATGTAATAATCTTTACATTAAGATAACTTAGATAACTAATGTAATGTAATAATCTTTACATTAAGATAACTTAGATAACTTTAGATAACTTTTTTAACTAACTTTAACTTTTTAAGTATTGAATCTTTGACTTCGATTATTGGCTCCCCTATTGAAAATAGGGGCAAGAGGGTGGAATAATGTTTTGTAGATTTCAAAAAGATCTACAATTTTCATTTGAAGTTTTTTTCCGTATCTCGTATACTTTTTGAGATAATTGGAAAAATAGATTATTAAGGGTGGTTTTCACCCTTGCCCGGGGTTGGAAACATTTTTTTCTCTATGTAAAGTGTTCTTTACTATCTTAAGAAACTTTTTAGCATAGTTCCAGCTGTTTGAGGAAAAACGGATTTCGCGACAATACTGACTGGACTATGACGAGAAACCTATATATATATACCTATAGCCTGTAGAAGAATACTAGACTATCTCTCGACCTGTTAGGCAGGGACTCGTGGAGCAAGGCTTGAAACCGGTTCCAAAAATACCGGTAAATAAATGTTAATACCGGTTTTTAGTAAAGGTCTCGTTCGGAGCGCGTCCGAAATGAAAGCGGTACCTAATACCTTAATAAACCGGTTTAATCCAGAAAGACACGTGCACGCGTCGGCCAGAGCGATACGTGCACGCGTTGGCATCGCTTGAAGTTTGTTTTGTTTGAACTAATCAAGTCACAACTTGTTAATTCTCAGAGATTGATGCATTTATTGACACATTTGCTAGCGTCTAGTGAGTCAAGTTAATCATTTTGTAGTTGTGTATTTATTTCTCCTTACCTTCCTTTTTAACAGTTAGATTTCCAACGGAGTCTTCCCGTCAGTTTGGAAGCAAGCCCAAATTATTCCTCTTCCTAAAATATCGAACCCTCAAACCATGGTCGATTTTCGTCCCATTTCTATCCTTCCCTTTCTATCTAAGGTTCTTGAACGCCTTATCCATAACCAATTGAATACATTCCTCTCTCGCCACGATCTTTTTAATCCTTTCCAATCCGGTTTCCGTCCTGGCCATAGTACAACGACTGCGTTACTTAAAGTAACCGATGATATACGCTTTGGGATGGATAACGGTCTCCTTACGGTATTAACATTGTTAGACTTTAGCAATGCTTTTAACACTGTCGACTTTGAGGTTCTTTTAGCATTGCTGCGCTCACTTAACGTATCTCCATCAGTGATTGAGTGATTTCGCAGTTATCTGCATGGGCGCAAGCAGCGCGTTCGCCTCGAGGAGAAATTTTCTTCATGTAGCGAAACGACTGCTGGCGTTCCCCAAGGCGGCGTCTTATCTCCTCTTCTTTTCGCTGTATTAATTAACTCCGTTTCAAACAATATTTCTTCTTCCTACCACCTATATGCAGATGACTTACAAATCTATTGCCAAGCTCCTCTTGGTCAACTTGATGAAGCAGTGCGGTGTACAAACAGTGATCTACATGTGATTTCTAAGTGGAGCCAATCTATTGGGTTGGAAATAAATCCCTCCAAGACAACTAGCATAGTAATTGGTAGTTCTAGAATGTTAGATAGAGTGGACTGGCAGTCACTACCCAACATCGAAATTGCTGGAAATGTTATCCCTTTTAGTACGTCAGTAAAAAACTTAGGATTAACGTTTGACAACTGTATGAGCTGGGGCCCGCAAATGCAAGTGGTCAGTTGCAAATTGTATGCTTCAGCAGCGTCAGTTAGGAGACTACGTAATTTTCTACCCGTCACCACCAAAATTGCCTTAGCACAATCTTTATTGCTTCCTATACTTGATTATGCTGACGTCTGCTATCTCGATCTCACGGAGGACCAGCTTAATAAACTAGAGCGACTTCAAAATTTTTGTATCCGCTTCATATTTGGCTTGCGCAAATATGATCATGTTTCTCAATTTCGTTCACAGCTCAAGTGGCTACCTATTCGCCTTCGCCGGAATACTCATATCCTTTCTCTTCTTTACAACATATTGTTCAATCCCAAGTCCCCGCGCTATCTAAAGGAAAGTTTTAATTTCCTTCATAATTCTAATACGTTATCTTTAAGGTCATCAGAAAATCTTGCTCTTATGACTCCCGTACACGGCACAACTTTTTTCCACCGTTCGTTTGTAGTGCAAGCTGTACATCTATGGAATTCTCTTCCGGTTTCGATAAGACGTGCGGAAACTATTAATGCGTTTAAAAACCTTGTGAAGTCCCACTATCTGACATTGTAATACTTTTATTTTTAATATCTCATGTTCTAAAAACTGGACTGGATCAATGTATGTATTTATACTTATTGTATCTATGTATGTATTTATGTATGTGTATATATCTTATATATGTATACGTGTATGATATGTATTTACTAATAGATTATATTATACTAGCGATTTACACCGCCGTCTCTCCCACTTCCTTCTAATCCTCTCCATCCAAAGGTTGCCTGGAAGAGATCGCTTTAAGCGATAAGGCCGCCTATTGCATCACCTGTACTAAATGTTTTTGTGCTGAATGTTCAATGTTTTTCGTGGTGTTTAATAAAGAGTTTTTGTATTGTATTGTATTGTATTCAGCTGTCAGTAAGAGCGAAATGAAACTCTTTAAAAACCGCTAAATTGATTCAAAACCCATTTGATTTCGATTTTTAGGAAAACCGGTTTTTTAAGGTTAAGGTAGAGCCAAACTTAAACAAAACGCTACTAATGTACTGGACACTGAATTAGGTATGAAAATTAACCGGTAAACAAGCCCTGTAGTGAAGCTCAAGGAGTCTACCAGCTGCGTACCTACCTATATTAGCATAACGTATGCAATAGGCTAGTTGACCCTTTTTGGAAAAAGGTTTTAAATGGTTAATAAATGTTCTAAAAAAATGTATTGTATTTTTTTGAGACCTAGAAAGCTACAAATCTTTAATTTCAAAATAGAATTTTCATGGACATACAAAAACGCTGTGGGCCATTTTAGTCTATAGATTGTCTATGCTATGACGTCAACTGTAGTAAACAAAAACTCGTAAGCACGTAGAAAATAACTTATCTGAGTTTATAAAAAAATGGGTGCGTGTACTTATGTAGGCGCGTGAGAAGTTATCCTTCTTTGGCCTCGTTTAAAATTAGTTTTTAATTGCATGCAAATAATTAATTACAATAAATTAATAAAAAGTCTGGAAAAGGACACAGTCAATAAAGTTCAGTTTTAATTTGAAAAAATAAATAAATAATCAAAATATTCAATTAAAATCGCTACTGAATATAATTTATTAGAACATATGTGATTTGCACTTGTATGAAACTTCAAACACGTATTCCGAATATACAAACTAGAAACATGTGGATAAATATTATAAATATGAATACCTATAACTGTCACTTTATTACAATAATAACATAAAAGTAACATTGAAAAATAAAGATGTGGTTTTTGGTTCTACTGCACCAATGGTCAAGAGATGGCGCTGTAGTCTCCTGAATCGCGCTTTGGTTCCGTTGTTCCAGATTAATAAATACTTTTGATAGGCCTTCACAATGCAGTCGTTAGCACCCACTAAATAGAGATTCTATTTCTATTTTGTTGGTAGATTTCCTTAATGTGCACATGTTAATTTTTTGTGTTACAGTGATGCGCGCTCATCTTAAAATTTCACTCTCATCATTTTTTCATAACGCGCCTAAAGAAGTATAACTTCAATAAAAAAAAACATGATTTCTAATAAATACCACGAAAAATAAAGTAATTATCATTATTGTAGTGTACGAGAATATAAAAACACATCCTTGAAGACTCCAGGAATGTTGTGGATTAAAATGCCGAAAGAAATTAACCTACGCAACTTTATTACACTTATTCATGTTGTATCAGTTTTATGTTTATTACTACATTGTAATACTAAATGCACTGTACTTACGGCATCTGCCTTGTCGTTACTCTGCTCCGCAGAGTAGAAATCGGGGTTTAGTGCAAAAAATTCACCAACCATCAATGCGTCAATTCTTGGCAGATTTGTGCTTTCTGCTTTCACAAAGCCGGCATCCATAATTAGTTTTGTCAAGAAAAACAGTAAACGGAAACTTTTCTAAAGTTAAAAGTGTTTTAAGATAAATTTATTCAGACTAAAGAATCCACCCACAATAACACGCGAATGACATTTAGTTGTTTACTAAAAGAGACATCACAATCATGGCGGATGTGGCAAACAGCGTTTTTAGTGTTTAAAAAATATAAACTAAAAAAATTTTTTTTCAATTAAATTTCTTCAGCAATCTTCTGCTTTTATGAAGTGAAATCGATATATTTAGGTTCCTTACACCAAATACTGTAAGAAATAAACATTTATTTAATAGAATTCGACATGAGTCAACTAGCCTATTAGCAGTCTTGCCCCACTAGCATGGGCACCGTGATATGAATATAGGTATATTATCTAACTTGTTTTTATCGAGCTCAATTGTCAAATTACTATGGAATTTGACAGAGACGCAATAAAAAACGTAATGTAAATTGTGGTTCCTCATTTTACGCGGACTGGTATACCTACTAAAAACATAGTTATATGATTATTGACATATGATATTGATTTAGGAGATTGATTTATGTCATTAATACAGGGTGTAAAAAATCCTTTAACGAAGTCAAAGGCCACGTATTTTCCACATCATGACGATCATTTTTTTCTTCTGGACCAAGTCACATTTTTTTTCAAGATTTATACATTAATATTTCCAAAACGTTATTTAGAAACTTTTTTATCCACTCACTTACACACATGCACACACATACACAGAGGCACATTCTTTGCGCAGGCAGCGCCACAGAAACGTGCCGCGCTATACATTGCGTACTGGAAAAAAAATTATGGTTTTTAACTTAAAATACAAATGATTCCCACGTTTAATATTTTGTAATGTTATTTTATTTATTTAAACTTTATTGCCACAATTACAAAATGGACAAAAGGCAAACTTAACGCTAAAAGCATTCTCTGCCAGTCAACTTACTATAAATATTACTTGTTTGGGTGTACAGAATGCGTAGTTTTGGTCTTTGTCATAGGTTTTTTTACACCCTGTATATGAATCTGACATAATAGGGATGATGACTATTTTTTTTTCTTCGTTTATCAGGTAGATTATCAAAAAGTATTGGACACGTATTTTTTCTTTTTTCACATAATATAAACATTGCAGAGATATATTGATTTGAAAAGTCGCATGACGTCACGTTTGAGTACACTTTTAAGTGAAAATTCACTTAAAAGTGACGTCACGAGCCCCTACTCCCAAACTTTGACGCGCTATAACTTTGTCATTTTTTGGTTGATTGCCCAAAGAAAAAATACGTGTCGATTATTTTTTGATCATCTAACTGACGGACTAAATAGAATTTCGTTTACTGTACCCCGTCATCATCCCTATTGTCGAAATTAGTTTGACATTCAAAATTTGTCATTTAAGCTTGTTTCCTAGAATTTTAGCCTAGACTAGTTACGCCGTGTTTTGTTAACATTGCTCAAATACCATTTGTCATTAAATGAACGAAGACAAAACATTGAGTAACTAATCCAAGCTTAGTCTTCGTTTATTAATAAGCGGGTAATAGTCCAACTAAAATTTTCAAGTAGAGTTTGTACGGAAAGCGAATGGGATTTAGATTGGAGGGCGCTGTAGTGCTTTTCTACCGTATTTGTAAGGTTTTACCCCTTTTAGACATGATTAAATACAAAAAAACCACAAGAAATCACAACAACAAACAAATCCGAATCAATACAAAACTTTGACGTTTCACAGATTGCTGGGTTTGATTGCCAAATGAAAATCTTAATGTTAGTCCCGTTTTTCGTCACGCTCATTCTCTTTCCGCACAGACTCTATTAGAATGAGACTGAAATTAAATAAGTTTATTTTCCTTTTTTTTACAGATTGTATTGGGTGCATAGACTGTTCCAAGTTGCCACAGGATATTACGTATTCAAATTCCTAGCGGGACGTATACGATGAAATAAGTAATTTGTAGATTGTATTTTTTTTAAAGCAATATATGTAATTGTCGGTCTATATATAGCAACATTCATAACAATTTCATCAGCAGTAAAAATAAACCTAACATGACTAGTGATGTGCCACTCACTGGGAATATTCGCAAACTCCGGTAATATACTCGGGTTAAAATAACGGGAATATTCCTAATTTCCCTGGGAATATTCGAAATGTCCCTAGATATATTTGATTCTGGGAATATTAGTAATATCCCTAGTAACATTGAATAATGCAATTATTCTCAGAAAATGAAAATATGTAACATTTGGAATATGGAACATAATGTGGGTTTTTTTCCATCATGTTTTCAGTTATTGTTTTTAAGTAACAGATAACTGAAGATATATACTACCTTGTAGTAATACTACAGTTATGTCAAAGCTAAATAATACATTAAGTTGTGAATGTTACTATGTAACGAGGTACTTAATATCATAAATAAGTAAAAATGTCACAATTATTTTTTATTCAAAACCCAGTTTTCATGGAAAGAAATTATTATATTGAAATAAATTAACTATTTTTTAATTAAGCACTACAAAATTATTTTAATTGTTGTAATTTCTAGTCGCTTTTTCTCACGCATAAAAAATCTTAAAATAATTGTCACAAAATATGTCAGAAGAAAAAATATTTTCTTTCCATGGTCTATCGTACTTACAAGATGCGTACAAGAAAAAGAATAACAATCCTTTTAGATGTTTTACTAAATCCTTCTTTTTTATTAAGATTTTATATTTTTTTAATATTTTTTGCCTTAAAAACTGAAAATCTTTACAACCTGCGCTACCTACCTCACTTGAAAACTACTTATTAAAAACTACACTTTTATGTACGCGTCTGTAGGAAATATTTAATTTTCAAAATTTAAGAAATGATGTTAACACAATACTATTCCTACATATATGCACAAATAAATTACCATTGTACATCTATATGTGCTTTGTGACGACTATTTAAAGGAGATAGTTCAAAAGTGGTAGTCGGTTTCCGGCAGTAACGAAAAATATATCATTTGAAAGCTTAAATCTAAAGAAAATATAACTAGAAAAAATTCCACGCGAACCAGACAGCAGACGGGACTCGAACCCGCACCCTTCGCAATCCGGGCGAATGCACTGACCAATTATGCTACCGCGGCCCTCACGGACCGCGTCGAAATTCCTCTAGCCATTCTTAAGCTGCAAGGCAGCGCCATCTCTTCGCATTATAGGTAGGCTTCGCATTATCCACAATCCGCGTGGATTTTTTCTAATTATATTTTCTTTAGATTTAAACATCAAGCAGTTACATGCTTTAAAATAATAAAAAATATAATTTGAAAGCTTGTTTTATATTTAAACATGAACAGATACTTTTTATTTTTCTCCGTTTAATTTTATTCTGTACCTGTTGTTCAATATTTAGTGTGTGACAGCTTATAACGTCAACTCAATCACTATGGCATCAGTGATTCATGATATTCGTGAAATCGTGTAGAACTTATTATACCAATTTATGATTGATTCTTCTTGAAATAAAAAAAAAAACCCGAAATAGCTAATAATATAATAAAAGATGAACAGGATAATTATCACTGTGTCAGTTACCTATTTAATGGAATATATTCGATGCTGTTGCAAAAAATAGATAAATAAACTTGCCATTTGCTAATCAATAAATTATAGAATTTTATATTACAATAATTATAAAAAAAACGGAGATAAAACGACATATAGTTTTTTGTCAAACGACTTACTTAATTAAGTGCACTACATCCTTAGATTAAAACAATGTTTTAATCTAAAACTACATCTTATAAAAAATTGGAGTCTGCTGGAGATTCAGTACCACCCTCCATATAAATTTGAACCCTGTCCTTTAAATATACTCTGGACATACCGATAAATTTAAATATATATTAGGGTTAAGTATAATTATAAGTTAGCTTTTAGTTAGTCACTAAACACAGAGAGGCAGTGAATAAAAAATTCTCTTTTGTACTTAAAATTTTCATTACACTATTCTTACTCCACAAAATTGATAAACTCTAATAACTTTCATTTTTTTTGATGACCTCCGTGGTCGTCGTTTGTACGCCGGGTTTTATCCGGGACCTATCGGGTCGCCGACTCGATAGGTCCCGGGTTCGAATCCCGGAATGTTTGTGTGATGAATACGAGCATTTGTACTCCAGTCATGGATGGTTAATATGTATTTCTATATAAATATACTTATATATGTACAGTATATGTATTCTATCCGTTACCCTAGCATCCTAGCACAAGCCCTACAGTGCTTACTTTGGAACTAGGCTAATAGGTGTGAGTGTTGGAAATATTTATTTATTTATAATTTCCTATTACATCGCTCATTAATAAAATATTTATATGCGCCTTATAGTATGCTGTAAAGCACTTAAACCGCTCAAAACATAAATTTTTGTTTTTTATATTGTTATAAACTTTAGGTTAATGTAAATGTATAAAAAATAATGAGCATATTAACCCTATTAAGTATTTGATTAAATGCTTTTATAAATAGATATTAACATATTCATTCATAGTTGAAATCTTTGCGATATTTCAAATCTTTTTCTCAATAAATTTTTGAAATATTTTTTGTACATTAGGAAGAGTTTTGTTAATTAATATTGTCTAACTATGATTCAAAAGCCTTGTTTAAAAAAAGTTAAACATGAGCAATTTTTGTAATTTCTAGACAATGCAAATGAGAAGATAAAATTTAATTATAATAATAAATAAATGTACAGATGGAACTTGTCTTTTTATTCTGTAACTGTTCTTCAATATTTTATTAAACTAGTGGTTTAATAAAATCTCCCCACGAATACGCACTGCTCCCGCATGGTGGGTCATGTCCCATTATCCCTATGCCATCCATAAATAAGGCCTGTGCCCTAGCAGTGGGGAAATTACCTACCAATGAAATTGTAAAACTCAATAAAATTATAACTTTTTATTTTATTGTTTATTTATTTTTTGCTAATACGCTGCAATTAAAGGACGGTTTTCTGCAAACCCAATAAATATTCATGTATTCCAAGATATAAATAAGTAAAGGTAAGTAAAAATGGAAGTTGTGTTTATTGTTACATAATAAATACACAGCTTTGCATCATAACGTAGAAATAAATATACTTTCTTACTGTTAAAATTAAAGTTCTTTAAATATTGCAGGAAATGCCCACTAAAAGAGGGATGACTAAATAAAAACACAAAAAATATTCACTTTAATACTTTATTTATCAAACTCTAAAAATGGTTACAAATTATGTACAATTTCTTTTGTGTTAATTAACATAGAAAGTCAAAATTTACATTTTCTCAATTAACATAAACTATGGGACGTACCGACTTAAAAGCTATTTCGAATTTTATTCTTTTTATTTACAAGCACAATTAGTTCTAATATTTATAATGAAAATTAAAAAAAGCTTGGGTTTTGAATATGTGACCCTGTGTGAAAATATGAAAAAGAAAAAAAATACAGAAGTAAAAGCAATATTATATGATAATAACATTATCTTTCTTAAAAACGAATTCTTTCAAAAATGCTGTAAACTATGTTGCTCCGGATGGAACAAGATTAATAAATAATTGCTTTAATATAACCCAATAAGAGTGTCTTTTATGCAATAAAAGAGTACGAGAGCATAAAATATTTTTTCCTATTTACAAACAAAACAGATTAACTACAGAATATCTTTAACAATTATAAAAAGAAAATAAAAAAAAATATCAGTCTGTAACAAGTAGGTGGTAGAAAGATTAAATAATATTATACTATTAATTGAAAAACTATAAAAAAAATGATTTAACTATTTCTTCGTTTAAAAAAGTATTTAAAATTATTGCTTAATACTACTCAAATTCATATTAAATATTCTGGAATAAGTTTGCAATCGAATCACCAGAAAAGAAAAGAAAAACTTAGTTTTCTTAAAAATTATAATAGTAATCCCAATATTCATCGACGTAAAATTCGTCGTCAATCACTGTCAATACATACGAAGATAATTTTATTTTATTCCCTTAAAAAAATACATCTAAGTACTTATCAATAACAAATTCGCTTATAACACAACATAACCAGTCTTCTACCGATCATTACGCGTCGGATTGCGTCGTCGGCCATTTTATATTCACAACAAAATGGCGACTACGCCTCCATTACAGATGGTGTCACGTTACTGGTCGTGCCGAAGAAGTAGGAGCTTATTCCGGAGAATAGACCACTAAACCAGTACAGGATTAGACCCCAGAAGAGTAGCTGGGTTATAACGTCAACCCAGTACATTCTGGAAAGAAATAATAAAAATAAAACTTTATACAGCCATTTATTTTTTCAACATTCACACGGAATCAACTTAGCCCCAAAGCAAGCACAGTAAGGCTTGTGATAAGGGACACTAAAGAAATATAAAACACATACAATGATAGGTACATAGATAAGTTTATTTTGTAGCAGTATTTGAATAACTGTTTATTATTATTTATACCATGACATGACTGTGAATGACAATGTTCACCTCACCCTGTATCCGATGTACCTACATACCATTCACAACAAAGGCAAAAGGTTCTATACCTCTATGTTTGTGATTGTGTAAATTGCATGCCAATGGATGGGTGACCAGAAATTTACTATCTCTAACTCTTCCGTGCTTCAGAAGTACGTGAAGCCGTCTTTCCTGGTTGCATCTGCGGTCGTTAGAATCCACCAATCGGCACTGAGCCCGCGTGGTAAGTTACATCTCTATCTCCCTATTCCATTCATAGGGAAGACCAGTGCCCAGCAGAGGGGAGAACGATAGGCTGATGATGATAATTATGATAAACATGGTATGGTAATAATAATATTGGGAATAATGATAACGGTAATAATGATAATGGTAATAATGAATAAGGTAATAATGATGATGCTAATAATGAATAAGGTAATAATGATGATGCTAATAATGATTAAGGTAATAGTGATGATGCTAATAATGAATAAGGTGATAATGATAAAATACTGACATTCTCATGTGCCTCCTCGCTGCCGGTAAAGTATCATCATACTCTTTCAGAATGTAGATTCTGGCAGCTTTGATGCAGTCTTCGAAATACTTTAATATGTCCAGTCCTGGGAATTGCAGTACAGAAAATAATAACACTACATATTGTAAAACGAAGTTATAAAAGGCACTTGAACTATCGAACAATGATTCGAATAAAGTTACCGAACTATTTTTGTGCTTTAAAAGTGCTCAATCAATTTACAATCTTATGTCCAGATACTCTTTAAGAGAATTTTTTACATTACAGTTACATTAATGAAAATTAATATATGATCGAAAAAATATTCAATTATTTCCTATAAACAGGGGTAAACACTCGCTAAATACTAGAAATAAAAATAAATTAGCTATAACAATTACTAGACTCCTCAAAATCAGTAATTCATTTAAAAGTCTTAGTGTACGCTTCTACAATAAAGTCCCTAGCAATATCCAACAATTGAACATCAAAAGAATTTAAGCTACTATTAAAAAGTTCTTATTAATAAAGTGTATTTATTATAAGGTATTAGATTGTATTACAGACAGAAATTCTTGGGTTTAAACTGTTGAAAACGTTCGGACAGGCTGTTTCTATAATCTATAATATAAAAATGAATCGCTGAATGTCTTGCTAAGCGCAATTCTCGAGAACATCTGAACCGATTTCGATAATTTCTCTTTTTTAGAATATTCCTTGAAGTACGAGGATGGTTCTTAAAGATTTTTTTTTAAAATGCCTGAAAATGTCCAAAAACACACTTTTCTATACTCCTATACAAACGATTCGTAATAATAATTAAAAGTCAATTTGTTAATACCATACCATAAATTTCAAATGTTAGTGGAGAGATTCTGGGAAGGCAAAACAATTGAGAGACGTGATGTCAACAGAAGTTTGGAAGAGGCAAATATACCATTTTCCGTTTTTTTTTATAATTACTTATATGAAGAGTCATTTAAATCTACACTACAGCTCTACACCGAAGCGAAGCGAGGGCGGGCCACTAGTATTATGATAAAGATGTATAAGATTTTGTATTGATTCCGTAGCAACAGCATATTTTGTAAATATTGTTACATGACTATTTTGAAGTTTTTTTCGCCAGTTTTAGTTCCATAGCTAAAATAAATCCTTATCAGGTGGTAGAAAAAAAAATGGACGATTCAAAACAGTTGTATTGTGTTCCCAATTTAAATAAAGAATTTTTGACTTTAGCTTTGCAGATCAAATATTTTAGTCGACATATTTAATGGCTGTAAGCAAAGAAGTGTATTCATTTACTCATCACAGTAATATTATAAAGGCGAAAGTTTGTGAGTGTGTGAGTGTGTATATTTGTTACTTCTTCACGTCTAAACGGCTGGAGCGATTTTAATAAAATTTGGTATCGAGTTAGCTGGCACCCTGAATAAACACATAGGGTGAGGCCAAACGAGCGTAATTTTGTGAGAGGTGAGTCGCAGAATTTCGGTCGCAAAAATTCTGCTGCATTCGGTTTCATACAAAAAGGCAGTTGGTGCCACACGACAACGCAAAATGAGTTGTCTGCCGACTCAATGCGCATAAGCTCGTCCGAATTTCGGTCGGGGTGAGGGTAGGGCAAGGAAGGGGAGTGGGGAAGTTACAAGTTGCGTGGTGTAATAATTCTTGAAAAACACGTAATGGCATATGATAGTACTTTTTAAACATATCTGGATTTGCACATAAACGTTCATATAAAGTATGGAACTGTCCACATATCAGCCTCTGACTATTCAGTGGGTTTACTCAGTTTCTTTTTCTGACCTCATCTTCTGAATATGCTTCGTAAATACACAATATTTTTAATGGATCCATTGCACTCGACGACACGAACACCCCGTACTAACGCTCAATAGTAGCTGAATAAATTACGTTCGTATGGCAGCTCAACAGAAATTCAGTTGAACGTAAAATAAGTGACCGAAAATAAGCGACTCACAACTCACAAAATTACGCTCGTTTGGCTTCACCCATAGGCTACGTTTTACTGCGGGAAAATATCCCTAAAACACAGCTAGTAATAGCATAAAAATAAAGTCGATAGAATTATCAAAATCGGTTCAGAAGTTCCAGAGAAGCAAAAAAAAATTACACTGATTTTTGTCACCAAAAAAACTCTAGTTAAAATGATGAATGAATAAAAATCAAATTAATAATTATTAAGCTTTGTATTCCTGAGTCTTGAACCCGCAAGATGCATTAAGTGTCGCCGCACACGGGCCACACGCCACAGCCACAAACGCCGCCACGAGAAGCTAGCAGCGGCTACTAAAGTGGCTGAAGCGCGCGACAGCGGCCGACTAAGGTAAGGGAGAGAGGGGTGGGGAATCGTGCGAGTGACATGTGGCGGCGTTTTGTATCGGCGCATTAAGTGACCGGTGCGGGCCACAAGAAGCGGGCAACGACGATTTGTAGCGTGTGGCGGCCACCGGCGTACCGTGTGGCGAGTCCATATAAAATGCATGAAAACTACAAGAAATATGCCGGTGGCGGCGTTTTGTGGTTGTGGTCGGTGGCCTGTGTGCGGCGACACTAATAGTTTTGAGGGTATATAACAATCTCATGCGTACCAAGAGCGTCGACCTTGTAGTCCCGTTTCTCTCTGGCGTTGATCCTCTGTCTCACTTTCTGCGCAGTGTCAGATTTGAAGTCCCACTGGTTGTTGGTATAATACTCGAACACTTCGAAACCTTTACTGATGCGTCTGTGTACGCGCATTAAACTGAAAGAAAAGTAAACTTTAAATCAAAGGCGATAAGGTAGTGTCTGATACGAAGTCTGAGAATTAATTTAAAATGAACTTTTAGTTATGGGAAATCAAGATGTCATAGAAGTAATGACTTATACTAATAAGGTTGAAATGAAAGTGAACCTTAAGCTGAAAGAGTTAAGATAAGTGGTTTCTAAAAAATATGAACAATAAATTGGTTGAAACGAAAATAACTTTAAGACATAGGTCATTAGACGTTACCTAAAACAATAACTACATACGCTAAAACTGACTTTAAACAGAAGATCACCGGCCACAACCACAAAACGCCGCCACCGGCATATTTCCTGTAGTTTTCATACATTTTAAATATATGGACTCGCCACACATGGTTAACGCCAGTGGTAATAGTACCTATATGTATTCTATTCGTTACCCTAGCATCCCATAACACAAGCCACAGTGTTTACTTAGGGGCTAGGCTAATTGGTGTGTTTAAATATTGTGTATGTGTCTTCATACATTTCATATAGACTCGCCACGTTGCGTGTGGCGGCCACTTGCGTTAACCACGTGTGGCGAGTCCATATAAAACGTATGAAAACTACGGGAAATATGCCGGTGGCGACGTTTTGTGGTTGTGGCCGCGCTGTGGGCGGCGACACTACCTTAGAGCCTGCGCTGTGTTGCCATTGAAACGAAAATGTAAGTAATGTACTAATAGTGTCTAAGTCATTAGGCATTGCATCTCTCAAAGCAAATCTCTATATATTTTAAAAAACTAAAAACACGCTTTTATTTACTGAACTAAAAAGCCTAAACTGAAAAAAATACTTCAAAAAAATCCGAAAAAATCAAGGCATACTCTATACACGTAACCCAACAATCTCACGAAGTTTCATAGAAACATTCAATTTCACCCTATATATGACTAATAAAGCATGGGGCGCTCTATATAAAATTTTAACTGAATTGTTGAGCATTATGAATCACATTATATATTAATTGTTTTGATAAATATTGCAATGAATAGCGCCCCACGCTTTTTCAGTTATATGTTTATGTTAAAATTAACTATAAACATGGCGAAGGATCATAAGAATTAGAACTCTAAGACTAACGTAATGTCAACGTAATTTTTTCACCAAAAAACAGGTAAAAAAAAAAAAAAAAAAAAAAAAAAAAAAAAAAAAAAAAAAATTATAACAGGTAAATACTTACACAGGCTTATATCCGAGGCAGAAGAGTAGGATGTCAATGAATATGGCCGGCAGCCAGTGGAAGAAGAACGCGCAGATGTTGTGGTACAGACGGGAGTGCTTCATGGAACCACCGGGGTACCTGGTGGTGGAAGATGTACAAAATCATCATCAATTTTTTTTAAACAACGTTTTTTTTCTAGGAAAACTTTTCTTTAGATTTAAACATCTAGCAGTTGAATGCATAAAAAGAAATAAAAGCTTTTTTTTTTAAACACATCAATTAAAGTTATATTTGTGTTTTTAAGCATTTAACTATTAGATATTTAAATCAAATAAAAAAATATATTGTTTTAAAACTTTCATGGTCACTAACATTATAGTAATATAAGTTATTTACGGGAGTGTTACCATGTACCTTGTTTTTAGCGAGTTTCCGATATTTCGGCACTGTTGCAAGCGCCATGATCAAGGAGTAACTAAAGTAATTGCGGGGAGGTGTTATTGCCAGACATAGCGGTCTACCCTCCGACGAAGTCTTTTATTGCGTTCGATACACATAATTTCGAAATATCGGAAACTCGCTAAAAACAAGGTACATGGTAACAATCCCGTAAATAACTTCGAATAAAGAAATTCCATTTAGGCTGCCAGACAGCGCCATCTTTTCGGATTGTAGATATCCCACAATGCCCTGCAACTTAAGAAAGGCTAGAGGAAGTTCGACACGGCCATCAGGGATGCGGCAGCATAATGGTCAGTGCATTCGAACGGATAGCGAAGGGTGCGGGTTCGAATCCCGTCTACTACCTGGTCCGCGTGGAAAATTCTAGTAAAATTTTCTTTAGATTTAAACACACCAATTAGCCTAGCCCCTAAGTAAGCACTGTAAGGCTTGTGTTATGGGATGCTAGGGTAACGAATAGAATACATATACTGTAAATATATAATTATATTTTATCTACAAATATATTAAACATCCATAGCTATGGATGGCATGAGAAGCTCAATGGCGTGGGTGGTTAGCGCGTTCGGCTGCGATCGTTGAACTTAAGTGCAACTTTCGCAGTGGTCGGTCATTGAATGGGTGACCAAAAATCTTCTATCTCGAGTTCCTCCGTGCTTTGAAAGGTACGTTAAGCCGTTGGTCCCAGCTGCATCTGCAGTTGTTAGCACCCGCCAATCCGCACTGGGCCCGCGTGGTGGGTCATGGCCCAATCTCCCTATTCCATCCATAAGGGAAGGAATATCCAATCCATTGCATAATGATTAAATATATATTAATTGTTTACCTGCATTTTGATTGCTGTGTCATACATTATTAATACAAATAGTGGTATTTATATCATACATTAGTGGTATATTAGTGGGAGCTATAACCTGACTATATATTATATGTCATTGTTTCAAGCTATTTCTCTTTCCACTTGGTTTCTGTATGTGGCAAAAATTGACAGAACCGTAAGATAACGCGATGGGATACTCCCTTCTGGGTCGCTTCCGTATTTCTCTATAAACCAGGGCTTGAAACCGGTTTCAAAAATACCGGTAAATAAAGGTTAATACCGGTTTTTAGTAAAGGTTTCGTTCGGAGCGCGTCCGAAATGAAAGCGATACCTAAAACCTTAATAAACCGGTTTAATCCAGAAAGACATGTGCACGCGTCGGCATCGCTTGAAGTTTGTTTTGTTTGAACTAATCAAGTCACAACTTGTTAATTCTCAGAGATTGATGCATTTATTGACACGTTTGCTAGCGTCTAGTGAGTCAAGTTATTCATTTCGTAGTTGTGTATTTATTTCAGCTGTCAGTAAGAGCGAAATGAAACCCTTTAAAAACCGCTAAATTGATTCAAAACCCATTTGATTTCGCTTTTTAGGAAAACCGGTTTTTTAAGGTTAAGGTAGAGCTAAACCTTAATAAAACGCTCCTAATGTACTTGACACTGATTTAGGTTTGAAAATTAACCGGTAAACAAGCCCAGCTATGAACTAAGAACAACCATAAACAAAACAAATTAATTTAAACGTTTTTCTCACCACACAACTCCGTTTAGAGGCACCCTGTTCATGATGATCTCTCGTCCGGCCTCAATGAGTTCGTTCCACGTCACCTTGATCTCCGCTGATGATGTGAAGTTGACTATGTTCGTCTGTTTGTCACTGGGAAACAAATAAATAAATAATCGTTGATGTGTGTGGATGGCCAGAGCGACACACATTAGATGTGTCTTAGTTGCAGTGTATCACTACATAGTATAAAGCAAAGTCGTTTCCCGCTGTCTGTCCCTATGTCCCTATGTATGCTTAGATCTTTAAAACTACGCAACGGATTTTTATGCGGTTTTTTTAATATATAGAGTGATTCAAGAGCAAGGTTTATATGTATAATACATGCATAATATAGTAGAGAAACACTGATAATTTTAGAGGTTTTTAATGTAAGGTCGTAAATAAACACATTTATTTGCGCTTACATTGCAAACGCTGGCTGAACCCTACGAGATAGATCAAAATAATGTACTCCAGTATTGTAGACCTTAAAAAGGTCTACAAAAAAGTCCGCGATGGTATATGTCTATCTCTTAGGGATAACCCACAATAACCATTTTTTATCCTATGCTTTTTACGAGAAATAATAGATTATTTACGAAGCAATATAACATTCATCCTTACCTAATTAAGTACCTTTTATACATTGTGCATTTAATATAGACCAATTTGGCCCTTTAATGCATGTAATTTAAATGAATATTTTCGAAGATGATTAATATATTTTTACAGACTTAAAATGCAGGGACATAGCGGTTCCGACGCTACCGGGCGGGGGCCTGGCGGTTTGTTAAAGATAAATAAATGAATGAATAAACTATTGAACCCAATGTTACCCATAAACGAGGTAATTCCAGGCCAGGATCATGATGCCGTTGATGAACACGTCCACGGGTAAATAGTCGGCATAGCTGTTGCTCTTGCAGTACATCGTGCGGATTACGCCTTTACCAGCCCCTGGAAACAAGCAAAAATACAGGTTATAAGGCGAATAGGGGTGATGACGGGGTACAGTAAACGAAATTCTATTTAGTCCGTCAGTTAGATGATCAAAAATAATGGACACGTATTTTTTCTTTAGGCAATCCAAACAAAAAATGACAAAGTTATAGCGCGTCAAAGTTTGGGAGTAGGGGCTCGTGACGTCACTTTTTAGTGAATTTTCGCTTAAAAGTGTACTCAAACGTGACGCCATGCGACTTTTCAAATCAATATATCTCTGCAATGTTTATATGTATTATGTGAAAAAAGAAAAATACGTGCCCAATAACTTTTTGATAATCTACCTGATAAACGAAGAAAAAAAATATAGTCATCATCCATATTATACGTAGGTGTCTTTGAAGATAAAAGGTATTTTTACGTGTCAGCATGGGGTTCGAAATTATATGCCAGTTGACGCTACATCCATCCATCCATCAGCCTTTCTCCGTCCACTGCTGGACATAGGCCTCCCCCATAGAGCGCCACAATGCGCGGTCCTGCGCTATCCGCATCCAGCGGCTCCCAGCACATTTGACGATGTCGTCAGTCCACCTTGTTGGGGGCCGCCCCACGCTGCGTCGTCCTGTACGTGGTCGAAACTCGAGGACCTTTCTTACCCAACGGTTACCAGATCCTCGAGCGATGTGGCCTACCTATTGCCACTTCTAGTTAACAGAATCTTCAGGATAGAAAACTGCACAACGATGCTGGCTAGACGGCATTATTTGTACCTTAGCTCAGTTTTGTAGAATAAAATTAATTATAAATTACATATTTACAGTTTACCATATCGTGAATGTAAAAATGTTTTAAATGAGTGGCTGCTTAGCCTTCGATATGAAGATATCGAATCTCTTATACTTACAGTAAAATAATAAATAAAAAATGATGTAAACATACAAAATACACAGAGATACACACACACACACACACACACACACACACACAAACACATACATACACATACACATACGCAAAAACGTTTTTATTAATGTTAAAGTTAGTTATTTTTAGTGTTTATTGTTACTAGTTATCATGTTCGAGGTGGGGCGCTAATAACTGCGACACAGTCTCTGACTATTAAAGTTATTAACGTTTTACATTGTTCTGTACAAACTATTTAATTGCAAATAAAGATTTTTATTATTATTATTATTATTACTTCACCGTGCTAACTCTTTGGGCTATGTCGTACACACCGGTCCTTCTACGGATCTCACGTAGGGAAACATCGATGGTCATTTCACGCTTGGCAGTTCTTTATTCTCCACACAGTTCTACCTTAAACACACAGTACTACTTACACTCACTTTACACCATACAAGTCTTCAAACAATCACTCTTCCTTATGCAATTGGCCCCTTAGGCTAATTCCGACCTAGATTGCTATGATTTTTAACTTACCAATAAGCAGACCAGTGGGGCCATTGATGTTGTCAGTCCATCCGGGAAGAGGCTCTTGCCATATGGGGATCACTGAAATTTAAAAATAAACTTTAAGCAAATTGACTTATAATGCGATTTAAATAAGAATAGGAAAGCCAATGACCTCTATCTGTCAAATGTCGCTTGAAAAGTACGGTTTACAAAAAAATACTTAAAAACCAAACATATTTGTAAACAAACAATAACAAATATTGATAATTAATATCGGTAGATATTTTTATTCATTTATTGAGCTTTGGCCATGAATGGTTGATAACCTAAATCGTCAACCAAATGTCACTTTAATTTGCGTTCAGAAACTCGATTTCAAACTTTCGTTTACATAAAGGATGCATGTTCGTATGTGACCTAGTAATAGTGCATAATTATTCATAACTACTTCGGCGGTAATGCAGAGATGAGCGGAATAGAAGAGCTAGATTCTTATTTATCTTTTTTTTTCACAGTCTTAATAAATAAATATTTATAAAAATCGGTGGTATTCTTTTCTCAATCTTAGTAAAAAAATGTTAGTAAAAATCTGATGCTTTTTCTCACTTAATCTTAGTATATAAGCTTTATTAAATAAAAACTTTTTTTTGCTCACTCTACCTATTTGGTTTGAATTGACAGCTATGACATCACAATATGGCGCCCAGTCAGTCCTATTCTTATTTGAATCGCATTATAAATGTTCTTTCACATCGTCCAAATTTTTTACTACCATCATACCATGTGATGTTCTGGATTGGAAGTATCGGTTATGCTCATAATCACCTGTTAGATGTCTTTAAGTAAAGTTGCCAATGCTGCAAAGTGTATGGTATTAATTGAGTTCAAACCGGCAAAACGATACACTTTTCGTATACGTATCAGCTACGATGGAAACTGCACTCCGCCTTTTTTTTCGATAACGGGGAGAAAAAATTACAATTACGCTGCGATGTGGCATCATTAAGCTCGTTCGTAAGTGGAATTCTTTACCCGCGCAAGTGTTCCCTCCTTCCTATAATCTGGGGTCCTTTAAGAGAGGCGTGAAGAAGCATTTTTGCAGGCCGGCAAGGTGAGGATGATTGGTGTAGTAGTTTATAACTGCTGTACCAGCTATCTTCGGGTTTGGCCTTTATTACCACTTAACATCAGGTGGGGTAGAGTCATTAGCCTACCTCTATATAAAAAAAAATTCATTATGCATATCCACGACAATGACCAACGCCGCGTTGGTACGCTGTCAACAAACCCTCGCGACGCAGGTAATTGCGTGGTGCATTCGGCAAGCGGCGAGTAGCCCAAAGGCCGCTAGTCGGTGCGGGTATACTTTGACGAGCACTCACGCAAGCGTGGCAAACGTCAAACCACCCCGTCTCCGACCAGCAGCCCGGTCAGCACCCGCTTCAGCCGATCCTGGGCTTCTCCGTTCACAGCGTCACTTGACTAGTCTCACGGACCGCAGTCCGAGTGGCTAGCCAGCCGACCAGCTTGGAGGAGGAGGAGACGAGCGCCCATGTTCTGCTGGAGTGCAGAGGCGTTGCAAGACAAAGGACTTCTCTAATGGGAAGCCCGCGGACACTAGTAGAAGCCTGCAGCAACATCCGGGGACTGCTGAGCTTTTTGGAGGAGCTGGGATGGCAGGACTGATGCCAATCCCCACGCAAAATAGGCACTGGGTGTCGAGTTGCGGAAACAGCCCGCGCCGTTCTACTAAGACTAAGACTAGCCAGCCGACCTACTCCCACACCTACCAGGTCCTCCCCGATGTACCCCTCAACCTCCAGGCATAACTGCGGGATCTAGTTGTGAGTCGCCGCTTCTTACGCCTACACTTTGCATCAGTCAAAATGTTAATTTTTTACTAAGCACTTACTCTTGAGGAGCTCAGGAGAAGTGGTTAGCGCGTTCGGCTGCGATCGTTGAACTTAAGCAACTTTAGCAGCGGGCGGTCATTGGATGGGTGACCAAAAATTACTATCTCGAGCTCCTCCGTGCTTCGTTGGTCCCGGCTGCATCTGCAGTCGTTGGCACCCACCAATCCGCACTGGGCCCGCGTGGTGGGTCATGGCCCAATCTCCCTATTCCATCCATAGGGAAGGCCTGTGCCCCAGCAGTGGGAACATTAATAGGCTGATGATGATGATGATGATTTACTCTTAAATGTTTGTGTTATTTCGCTGACTTACTTTAAAATTGATAGTTTTTGCTGTATTCATATATTTCTATCTTGTTTTAGGATTCCGTAGTCCCGATAAGGACAAAATGACAGAACCGACAAAATGATAGAATAAAATTTTTAATTTTTTTTTGTTAGACCCCCTACATGTAGGCTCGGGATATAATTTTTTTTCATCATCTACCCCATCGTGTGGGATATCTTTGAATAGGTCCTTTACAATTTCTTAGGGGTTTCCAAGACTATTTTTCGATTAAGGGATCCATTTGCGAAATATTAAACTTTTAAATGCAATTTTTTAAATAAAACTAGTTTTTTATTAAACTACTTTTTTACGGGTTAATGCACGAAACTTTATTTATTTATTGACGTTTCGTAGCCTTTACAGGAATTTGAATATTTGAAATAAAATTTGATTCTGACGACGTAGCCTGTAAAGGCTACGAAGCGTCAATAAATAAATAAAGTTTCGTGCATTAACCCGTAAAAAACTAGTTTTATTTAATGAGTGATGTGCGTGAAAACCTAAGAAACAAATATGCAATTTTCCCCCCCTCTAAAAGCTAAACTATTGGCTTAAAACCCTGGAAAAATTCATTACAATAGTGCTTTTAATTAAACTATAATGGTTAAGATAGATTTGTTAGCTTAAGAGTAATATAGTCGTTCAACTTTGATTAAAGAAAATTTCTTTTTGAAGTTATACTTCTTTAGGCGCGTTATGAAAAAATGAAGAGAGTGAAATTTTAAGATGCGCGCGCATCACTGTAACACAAAAGTCGCTTTAGCGACCAACTTCATGCGTTACTTTTGTGTTTACCGCACATTAAGAAAATCTACCAACAAAATAGAAATAGAATCTCTATTTAGTGGGTGCTAACGACTGCATTGTGATGGCCTATCAAAAGTATTTATTAATCTGGAACAACGGAACCAAAGCGCGATTCAGGAGACTACAGCGCCATCTCTTGACCATTGGTGTAGTAGAACCAAAAACCACATCTTTATTTTTTTTTAAGTATAGGAAACTTCTGATCTCCTTACCAATAGAAGGTCTTAAGATGACGGCAGGAATGTGCTGCATGTACTCCACTACTAACCCCTCACCCAGGGCTTTAGTGAACGCGTACGAGTTGGGCAGCTTGTTCAGCAATCTGTAACAGAAGGGGGTAAGGTTGATTATCGCTTGCTTCATAAATTTCAGGCCTCATGACCATATATAAGCCTATTAATATTATTGCTGGGGTGCTTTGGAGGAAAAGAAGGAGAAAGAATAAAGATCTCTTATCTATTAGACAAGTCCTTCCGTCCGTCTGTCTGTGGTGCTGTTTCAGCGGCCAAACCGTAAGAGATAGATAAAGAGAATATTTAAGTTATAAGTTAAGAATAGTCTGATAAGACTAAGATTTGAGTAACGTAGCACTTCCGGTTTTCGAGAAATCACGAATTTCAAACGAAACCACACAAAATCTCCGAAGTTCTCAATTAATTAAATACTTTTTTTTTTGGTGAACATTTGGTTCACTGGTTTGCTAGTTTATCTCTAATACTCGTATATAAAATTCTCGTGTCACGGTGTGCGTAATTGAACTAGTCCGAAACGGCTCGACCGATTTTCGTGAAATTTTATATGTATATTTAGTAGGTCTGAGAATCGGACATCAATTTTTCATCCCCCTAAATGTTAAGGGTGGTCCAAAATAAATTTTTATTTTAACTTTTTTTTTATTTGTTTGGACATTTTTTTTGGTTTTTATTTTATATGATACATCATACGAAAATACATACAACCCTAAATTTTCAACCCTTTACCACCAACCCTTATTTTTATGGCGGTACGAAGTTCGCTGGGTCAGCTAGTAATATATAGTCTATTTTTAATCCTAAGAATTGGCTTGCTTATTTGTTAGAAGCCGTTTGTGTTGCAGTTAAATGCTTAAAATAAATATAGTAAACTCAAATAGGAAATGCTTCTAAAAACACTCCTCATACATACATATGAAAGACTGCGAGTCCAGCTGTTTTTCCTGACAATATATGAAGTTTTTAGTTGAGGTGCTCGATGGCGGGGGTGTTGTAGCAAAGCAACTTTCGCAATGGTCGGTCGTTGGATGGGTGACCAAAAATCTTCTATCTCGAGTTCCTCCGTGCTTTGGAGGGCACTTTAAGGCGTTGGTCCCGGCTGCATCTGCAGTCGTTAGCACCCGCCAAACCGAACTGGGCCCGCGTGTTGGATCACGGCCCAATCTCCCCATTCCATGCATTGGGAAGGCCTGTGCCCCAGGAGTGGAGACATTAATAGGCTGATGATGATGATGATATGAAGTTTGCGATCGGTTGAGAATCTTTTAAACTCACTTTGGTGTCAACGTAGCGATGGTCTCATCGTCCATCCACTCCACCGCCTGTATGATCTGGTGGGGGTCAGCTGGAGGAGGGTAAGGCTTCTCTTCCAGAAGTTTCTCGTGCAGGTGGCAGTAAGCCGTAGATATGTGCATGAAGAGCTGCAGGACAGGAAAGAAGGATTGATTCATTTATCCATTAAAAAGATGTGTGCACGGACCATATGTTCGGTTGGTAGCGGACTGTAGTTAGGTTGAATGGTAACATAAACACTGGTTCATCGGTCAAGGTATATTTATGCACATACAGACACAAAAGTAAATACACTGTAAATAAAACTAGTTTTTACGGGTTAATGCACGAAACTTTATTTTTATTTATTGACGTTTCGTAGCCTTTACAGGCTACGTCGTCAGAATCAAACTTTTAGTTATGATTTTATTTATTTTTTAAGCATTTAACTGCTAGATGTTTAAATCTAAAGAAAAGTCTTACTAGAAAAAAATCCACGCGGACAGGACCAGTCCCGTCCGCTGCCTGGTCCGCGTGGATTTTTTTCTAGTAAAACTTTTCTTTAGATCAAACTTTTATTTAATTTGTCGAGCTACCTTCGAAAGACTTTTATTGAGCTCAATCGAACGCTCAATAAAAGTCTTTCGAAGGTAGCTCGACAAATTAAATAAAAGTTTGATTCTGACGACGTAGCCTGTAAAGGCTACGAAACGTCAATAAATAAAAATAAAGTTTCGTGCATTAACCCCTAAAAACTAGTTTTATTTAATGAGTGATGTGCGTGATTGTTTCTTAAAACAAATAAATACACTGTAAGTACAGACACTGAAAAACTTGGTACTATGGCTAGGACTTACTCAGAAGTAGTTAAATTAGATATAATAGGAAGCACGTCCGTACAATACGGTGGCCGGTAATGGAGTGAGAGAGTCAGCGAGAGACGCTGCTGGTCAACTAGTGCTGTGCACAATATTTAGTGTTGGGAAACATTCCAACACCATACATCTGAATTAATTGAGGAGCTCGATGGCGCAACTGGTTAGCGCGTTCGGCTGCGATTGTTGGAGTTAAGCAACTTTCGCAGTGGTCGGTCATTGGATGGGTGACCAAAAATTTACTATCTCGAGCTCCTCCGTGCTTCGGAAGGCACGTTAAGCCGTTGGTCCCGGTTGCATCTGCAGTCGTTAGCACCCACCAATCCGCACTGGGCCCGCGTGGTGGGTCATGGCCCAATCTCCCTATTCCATCCATAGGGAAGGCCTGTGCCCCAGCAGTGGGGACATTAATAGGCTGATGATGATGATGATGACATCTGAATTGAAAATTCTTTCTCTGCAGAGAGGTCTTGGGTTCCAATTCCGATGGGGGCAGATGTTTATGTGATGAAGACGAGCATTTGTACTCCACTCATGGATGTTAAATATGTATTTCCATATAAATATACTCATATATGTATCAGTATATGTATTCTACCCGTTACCCTAGTATCCCATAAAACAAGCCTGCAGTGCTTACTTTGGGGCTAGGCTAATTGATGCATTAAAATACAAAAAAAACACCCTATTCAGAAATCAGAAATCAATATATCTTCATGCAAATTGGATGTATAGTACAACTCTTTTGAATCGTCCAAATTTTTTTTTCCCTACCACTCCTTATGGACATGTTTTTTTAACTGCGGAGAAAAACGAGCGAAAAAAACTCTACAACATTAAAAGTCTAATGTAACAACATTTACAGATCATTATGTTGTTACAACGTCAATACAATTATGATTTATTGAATGTAGAAAACCTGTTAGAATGATTGGCACAGTTCAAACTCAAGCATTTTTGTCAGTAATATAATCAGACACTTTGTAATAAGCTTTTTTAATAAGTGTTTTTTTATACTATCTTTAAATTTATTTATGGTTAACTCTTGGATATTGCTTGGGCAGAACGTTCGCAATATACCCCTAGATGTAAAATCATCGATGCCCCTAATTTTATTTATTGTACCACTCTTACCTGAAGCTTCTTGCATTGTTTAGCCAGCTCTAATACCAGCTTGGTGCCTCGCACGTTCAACAATACTGCCTTCTTCAACTCTTCGTCGAATCTGAAAGATGAGTAAATACCTATAAAGTTGTAACTCGGGCCCAATTCTAGTTTCAATCAAAGAAATCTCGAAACAGTACCCTTTGTCTGAGTTTTTTGAAGTTATACTTCTTTAGGCGCGTTATGAAAAAATGATGAGAGTGAAATTTTAAGATGCGCGCGCATCACTGTAACACAAAAGTCGCTTTAGCGACCAACTTCATGCGTTACTTTTGTGTTTACCGCACATTAAGAAAATCTACCAACAAAATAGAAATAGAATCTCTATTTAGTGGGTGCTAACGACTGCATTGTGATGGCCTATCAAAAGTATTTATTAATCTGGAACAACGGAACCAAAGCGCGATTCAGGAGACTACAGCGCCATCTCTTGACCATTGGTGTAGTAGAACCAAAAACCACATCTTTATTTTTTGTAATAAAGTAACAGTTATAGGTATTCATATTTATAATATTTATCCACATGTTTCTAGTTTGTATATTCGGAATACGTGTTTGAGTTTCATACAAGTGCAAATCACATATGTTCTAATAAATTATATTCAGTAGCGATTTTAATTGAATATTTTGATTATTTATTTATTTATTCAAATTAAAACTGAACTTTATTGACTGTGTCCTTTTCCAGACTTTTTATTAATTTATTGTAATTAATTATTTGCATGCAATTAAAAACTAATTTTAAACGATGCCAAAGAAGGATAACTTCTCACGCGCCTACATAAGTACACGCACCCATTTTTTTAATACTTTCGTATGAAACGATCGTCTTCGTCGATTCGATCAAACTATACGCGAATTATGTCGCAGAATTTCACTCCACGTCTTCACGACATCGTATGCTCGATGACTCAATTAAACGAACTTCACACTGTTTAGTTCGGTCTCTTTCGTTCTTTATTGTCAAAAAAGAGATAGCTGAGCCATTCATCGAATTCAACCTTAAACAAAGCTTATCTATGTAAATCTCTAGACTTAATCTTATTAATCTGTGTCCAAAGAGTTTAAAGAACCTACGTTTATGTGTGTGTGAAACTTGGCTGTATGGTTGACTTCAAGGCCGCAAAAAATTAATATAAAAAAATAAACATTATTGTACAATCTCTATCTCGACCTGAAAACTTTGAAAGTAGAAGTCGATTTCTCGATTTCTGCATTCTTCTCACTAATCGAGATAAGAGACAAGGAAGTTATAAGGCGAAGAGAAAGTTTCATGCTCGTCGGAAATAGCTGCATACGCATCCCACACACACACACATATGACTAGTCTGTACCCCTAGCACGAACCAATATCGAATTCGTATTGTTTGCGAGTCCGAAATGTCATTGCCAAATGTATACCGATTTTTAGTTCTCGTTACGTACTTTGTGCCGCTGCAGTTCAAGTTTCCATACAAAATTTGACATTGACATTTCTGCTTGCAAACTATTCGAATTCGATAATGGTTCGTGCTAGGGGTACTGGCCATAAATACTGTTACATAATAAAAATATTCAACTTTTTAATTATTTTGAATTTGGAACACGTCACACCATTTCACACATTTTTTCGTGTTTAATATCAAATTACAATATGGAATAGGGTGTTAAAGAAAATAGGATTGCAGGGATCGCCTTGTACAATGTGGGTATGGAGCCGTCGGTCATACTCCAGACACTTCAAAAGCTTGGTATCAACCGCATGTTCGTATATCGTACTATCAACAGATACAACAACACTTTGTCTGTCGAAGACCGGAAAAGATCGGGGCAGCCGCGTGCTGTTAGAACTACAAAAGCTGTTAATGCTGTTAAAGCCAGAATTCGTCGAAACCCCATTAGAAAGCAAAAAATCTTATCGCGAGAAATGAGATTCCCGCTAGGGCTCTGTCGCGTATTATAAAACAAGACCTGAAGTTTGGTGCTTATCGTCGATAAACTGGACATACCCTAAATCAATCTTTACAATTAAGGAGAATGGATCGATCAAAACGCCTTCTATCGCGACACGCGAATGTTACGAGTTCCGTGGACAGCCCACCGCACAAATGCGTTAGGCTGTCCAATTTCTGCTTGCGTAGAATCCTCGAATTTTTCGGTCACCTAGCAAGGAAGAAAAACGATACCTTGGAAGTGCTCCTGGTGACAGGAAAAGTACGTAAGTAGTAAGTAAGTTTAAAAAAATGCGAAGCGAACGGTATTAGGGGAAATGCTTTGAAATGGATTAAAAGTTATCTTACTGATCGAACTCAATTCGTAGAACTAAAATATCTTAATAGTAATTCTCAGTTAGAGGATTATTCTTCAAAGATTATTCCTAATAATGTTGGCGTACCACAGGGCACTATTTTGGGCCCCCCACTATTTATACTATACATTAACGATCTGCCAAAAATTACAAATTTTTTTTGCTCTCTATATGCAGATGACATTACAGTAGTTTTAAGTAATAAATCTGACAAAAACCTAAATGACATAATTAATTCAACTGTAACTGACATTATTAACTGGTTAAATTGTAATAACCTAAGTGTAAATATAAAAAAAACTAAAATTATTCAATTTACTAATAAAGGTGCAAAAAAAGCGGAACTAAATGTTACTTTTGACAACAAAACAATCGCAGAAACTAGTCAAGTGACGTTTTTAGGTATAGAATTTGATAATCACTGTACTTGGAAAGCACATGTTGACAAAGTATGTAAAAAATAAATAGATTTGCGTATGCATTGTGGCGTTTGTCTAGAATAAGCAATACTCAAACCGCACTGAAAGCATATCACGGATATGTAGCCTCGATCATAAGGTATGGCATAATAGTATGGGGTAATTCTGTAAAAATTAAAAGACTGTTTATTGCACAAAAACAATGCATTAGATCTATTGCTAATGTTGATTCTTGGGTTTCTTGCAGGCCTTTGTTCAAGTCTTATAAGTTGCTGACAGTACCGTGTATTTATATTTTTGAAATGTGTATCTTTGTCAAAATGCACCCTGACTTTTATAAAACTAAAAAAGACTGCTGTACTTTTAACACTAGGTATCCAAAAAAAATGTGTTTACCGGACTCTAGATCTGAAATTTGTAGCAGAAATAGCTTTACAATGTCCGTGAAAATATATAAAAATTTGCCTGAGCCATTAAAGTCATTACCTATGTCCTTATTCAGACGTCGTCTATATAAATTGTTAATTGAAAAATGCTATTATTCACTTGCAGAGTATTTTGAGGATAAGTAGGCTGAATGGACTTCAATATATGAAATTTTGATTTTGGACATGCATTCTATATCTTAATGATTTATTTAATTTGTTTGTCATTGTACGATACTGATTACTGGAGGATCCTGAAAGCAAATATTAGACATTTATTATTTAACATTTTGATTATTAATTTTAGTATGAATCGACACCAATGTATGATTTGTATTATTGTATTATTATTGGATTTTGAACACTGGACATCTATTTTTTTTACATTTTGATGAATAATTTTATATTTATTTGACATTGTATAATATTGATAACAAAATGATTTTGGCATGATACTGATAAGGTTAACATTACTCTTTAATTTTAACTTGATTTAAAACTGTTGCATGCTGTTTAACAGTAAAATATGTGAGACATGAGAATTAATCAAACACCTTTTATACCATATTTTTATGCAATAAATTATTATTATTATTATTATTACAGGGAAGGCGACCGAGAGGAAGAAGCCCCATGCGCTGGATAGATCAGATCCGCGACAATATCAAAACTGGAGTCCGCGATGCACTCCACACTGCGGTAGACCGCAATAAGTGGAAAGCGATCGTCCACAAAATAATTCGTGGAGGTCACGACCCTCAGCAATGAGGAGCACGACACAAGGAGGAGGAGGATCGCGATACGCAGGTGAAAAGCTCAGAAATATCCACTTCATCGATGAAAAAAAATTCACGATTGAAGAACACTACAATAAGCAATATGATAAAGTGTCCGCTCTCAGTTCTAAAAAAGCTGCTCTAGTGGTCGGAAAGGTACAACGTGGTCATCATCCTGCGTCAGTGATGATTTGGTGGGATGTGTCTTATCAAGGAGTCACAAAACTACATTTCTGTGAAATAGGAGTGAAATCTTCAGCCAAAGTGTATCAAGTCTTGGATCATGTTGTGAAACCTCCCAGCTTTTTAATTACACTTTTTAAAAATATACCGTGGACTTTCCAGCAGGATTCTGCACCTGGTCGCATTTACACCCCGTCGGAAAAGAAGTTTCACCTGAAAGAGGATATATCCTGTTAAGGTTGTAAAACATCATTTCCACTCACCTGATCGTAGCAGCAGCGTGAATGATGACATCGACTTCTTCTATGATCTTCTGCCTGTCCTCCTCGCTCATGGCGAGGTCTGGTGCTGACACGTCGCCGCTGATGATGGTAACCTTCTGCAGGAGCGGCTCGATGCTGCCCCTCATGTTGCGGAGCATATCGAACAACTGGAACAGAAAAAAAATGTTCAACGTGGGGCACACTATTCTTATTTTACAGAAGCAGTTTCGCTGATTAATGGTTAGTCCAGCTCTCCTAATAGAGGACCCCCCCCCCCCCCCAAATCGCACACGTCAAATCAAAAAAAAGTATTTGAAAATTTACAAAATTCACGAAAAATTAAATTTCTGTCCCTGGCCGCGATGCATTCTTCGAATTGAAAAATCCGGCAATTCTTCCTTTGGGAGGAGTTGGAAATTTTAAGTTTCGTGACCCTTCCTGCTATTTGAGAAGACCTTTGGCTTCTAAGGGGCTTTATAGTTTGTGTTTACTTACTATTATTGTTCAGCCAGAATAACGTCTCACTGACAAATTAATACTAAAGTTTGACGAATTGACTTTCTATTCTGCTGCTAATATGTGTTCGCTAATTTATTAATTTTATTCACTATTTTATTTATTGTATACTATAATTAATATAATATAATTAAGCGTTATCCAGTGAACCCACATTTCCTGATAAATGGCGGTAACGATCTTGTTTTTTTTTCTTTCTTTTGCTTTTTGTTATTAATTCAATATGGTTCTGTATATCATTACATTCAATGTAACATTTACATATTGTACTCTCGCTTATAATCTAGGGTAGATCACAATAAAAAATGTATTATGCAAAAGAATCTATTAGCAAGCAAATGGGTTTTAAGAGGTTTTGAGCCTGGGGGTCGTAACACAGTTGTAACCTAGTACAATCTCCAGCTCTCTCAAAGAACTGCATTGTTTTACTGTTACTGTAATTCAATACCCTTTTTGTAATTATAATGTTACTTTGTGACTTTGTGAGAGAAATAAATAAATCATTCATTCATTCATTCAAATCTTTCATTCATTCATTCATTATATATTAATATGTAAGTAGTAAGTGACTTTGCAACAAAATGGTGGCTCGGCGTTTGTGCAATTCTGCATTCTTGTTTAACTATTGGGGCAGAAGTGAAAAAAAATGTGAGTTTCCGTTAAGTAATTTAAGCACACACTTAACTAAACGCTATGTCTTATGTAGATAAGTAAATGTAGGGTATAAGAACAGAAGAGATACAATCTATAATAAAGGGTTTTTGAGGGGTTTTTAATAGGCACGCTCCAAGTTATAGATATATGCATGTATATATCCCTGTGCTTCTATTTTATATTGTGTTGCGTTCCATTTCATTATAAATTATTATTGCCCAATGATAATATTATATATTATCTACAGTTGTACACTTATAAATAAATTTAATTTTTGCGCGTAGCGGTACCTTTACTTAATATTAGTAAGTAAGATGCTCCGACATTATGCTGAGTAGATACCTTTTCAGCACCATGTATATTACTTGTGTATGTATTATGTATGTTATCAAAATGGTCATGGTACTGAATAAATATCTTTTTCTTTCTTTCTTTCTAATGCGCTGTCAAATTTGGCGGCAATATTTAATTGGTAGCGACATCACTTTCTTCATACAATTTGATCAACTATCCCTTGAACAACATTTGCGACGTTTGCTAAGACTGGACGCGAGCCGAGAGACATTCGAGAAATAGGTATTTGTCGTGCTGTCGCAACAGTAGCTAACAGTGGGCGAATCGCCTAACCAGATTGCTTTGGAAAACGCTATCGCTTACGATTTCATTTTGTTATTTCTAACCGCCGAAATACCTCACGCTCATTTTCTTTAACATTGTTATTACCAATGCAAAAGAAAAAAAAAGAGCGCGAGGCATTTGGAAACTTCAGGGGGCTAGAAATAACAAAATGAAATCGTAAGCGATAGCGTTTTCCAAAGCAATCCATTTAGGCGATTGGCCCCCAGGTAAGTTCGGCTCTCCATAATTTCCTCCTCGTAAATTAATAGGTATATGTAAAATAAATGTTACCCATAGAGTAGTAGGAAGTTATACTAGGCCTCTTTATTTTGCCTTGCTCATTTGTAAATGATAAATTGTAAATTTGATAAATTTTAATGATAAATTTTAATGATACCTAATAATCTATATTATTTTTTGTGTGTGTATTGACATTATAAATTTTGTATATGACGTTATAATTAATGATGTTTGACTAATTGATTTGATTTTCTTATGACGTAAATTTGTTGACCTAAACCGAAATTATTAAACTAAATTATAATGAATATTATGTGAATGAATTTTGAATGAATTATTACTTTGAATGTTATTGTTACTTGTTTATTTATTTTTTGATTTGATTGACATACATCTCTTGACCTAACCCTAAATGTATTTTATAATTGCTTTAAGTATAATATGAATTGATTTTAAAATTATATTCTTTTTTATTAACTTATTTAAATTTTCTATCTATCTTAAATTGTTATCCTATTGTAATTTTATCAAATTTTAAATTAATATTTGTACACATTTATTATAATTTGCAATGCCCTTGCAGGGCTCATGTTTGCGAGCTGTTATTAAATTTAAGAACGAAATGTAACCAACATGAAGCAATAAATATTATGACTATGACTAAATGCTGATTGAATCTCCACTCTCCTCCTCCTCCTTGTGTCGTGCTCCTCATTGCTGAGGGTCGTGACCTCCACGAATTATTTTGTGGACGATCGCTTTCCACTTGTTGCGGTCTTCAGCAGTGTGGAGTGCATCGCGGACTCCAGTTTTGGTATTGTCGCGGATCTGGTCTGTCCAGCGCATGGGGCTTCTTCCTCTCGGTCACCTTCCCTGTACTTTTCCTGTCACTAGGAGCACTTCCAGGGTATCGTTTTTCTTCCTTGCTATGTGACCAAAGAATTCGAGGATCCTACAAAAACAGAATTTGGACAGGCTAACGGTGACTCCCACTTCTTTAAGAATTGACGCATTTGTGCGGTGGGCTGTCCACGGAACTCGTAACATTCTCCTCAGGCACCACATCTCAAATGCGTCAATACGAGATCTGTCTGCCTTCTTGATGGTGAATCTCCACAATAGACCACTTTAGTGGTGATACAAATTTGTTTATTTTTGACTTTTTGAGGGCTTCTAGTGACTTTGAAACACAAGTTATCGAAAAAAGGAAGACATAGGAGTGTAGAATGAGTAAAATTATATTTTTTGTATGAAAATCATTTCTTCTATACTAATATTATAAAGAGGATAGATTTGATTGTTTGTTTGTATTGAATAGGCTCCGAAACTTCTGGACCGATTTGAAAAAATCTTTCACATTTATAATCCTACATTATCCTTAATGAAAAAAGGCTATAGAGAATAGGGGTGATGACGGGGTACATTAAACGAAATTCTATTAAGTCCGTCACTTAGATGATCAAAAAATAATGGACACGTATTTTTTTCTTTGGGCAATCAACCAAAAAATGACAAAGTTATAGCGCGTCAAAGTTTGGGAGTAGAGGCTCGTGACGTCACTTTTTAGTGAATATTGGCTAGAAAGTGTACTCAAACGTGACGTCATGCGACTTTTCCAATCAATATTATGTCTGCAATGTTTATATTAAGTGAAAAAAGAAAAAATACGCGTCCAATACTTTTTGATAATCTACCTGATAAACGAAGAAAAAATAATTAGTCATCATCCCTATTACAAAAAAATGGGTTCCGTATGAAAACATAGATAATGTAAACCAGGATGTGAAAAAAATCCCATAAAAAAACCTTATATCGCATCGCTTACGCTGCTGAAGTCATTGACAATAGAGCAAAGTGATGTACTAAAGTTTTATAGAGGTCATCAATATCTACAAAAAAGTCTGCGATACCGTATGTTTAACTATTACAGTTATTTCACAACCAAAGTTCCCCTGCGGTTTTCACCCGCGTTAATTTGAGGAAAAAGGTTACAGTGAGCCAAACTTAAAAGATTGGCATATGCCGTCGCGGTCTTTTTGATAAATCTTTTAAAGGGAAACAATTTCGCCATACGTGATTTTTGTGTAAGTTTAATCATTTCCGCAGCGCACGCAACGAAAGCTCACAAATGGAATGTCATCATCATCATCATCATCAGCCTATTAATGTCCCCACAGCTGGGGCACAGGCCTTCCCTATGGATGGAATAGGGAGATTGGGCCATGACCCACCACACGGGCCCAGGTCGGATTCGTGAGTGCTAACGACTGCAGATGCAACCGGGACCAACGGCTTAACGTGCCTTCCGAAGCACGGAGGAGCTCGAGATAGTAAATTTTTGGTCACCCATCATATGACCGACCACTGCGAAAGTTGCTTAACTTCAACGATCGCAGCCGAACGCGCTAACCAGTTGCGCGATCGAGTTCCTCATGAAATGGAAATGGAATGTGTTTACCAGTTTTTGTAACATTTTACATCGATGATTGGCTCCTACTGGTCGCAGCGTGATGTCACATAGCCTCCTCAATAAATGCACTATCTAATACAAAAAGATTTTTTCAAATCGCACCATTATTTCCTGAGATATGCGCGTTCAACCAAAAAATGGGGTATTCGGTACAACGGGTCCTAAAAAACGCAACAAAATCTGCGTGAAATAATTGGTTTCCCATAGAAAATTCAACACCCCTTTCAAGGTTGATTCTGGGCCAAAAATAAACCTACTATATCCTTTCCGGTATACTAACTATGTCTATAGCTACCAAATTTCATCTAAATCGGTTCGGTGGTTTACTCAAACAGACACACAGATACATTTCGCATTATTATAATAATTAGTAAGGAATGCGTGCGTGATGTGGTGTTGCTTGCGGTAACGAAATATTTTCGCGCGCAATTTTACGCAAGATGGCGGTGGCCTTGGCACGGCCCTTCTACGATTTTGAATACTCAAAAATTTCTCAATCTACTCATGTCTCAGTTGCTGCGATCTTTTAAAAGAAACTGAGGTATTTCGTCATCATTATCAGCCATAAAATGTCCGCATTGCTGGAACACACACAAAGTTTGTTTATTTTTAGCCTTTTTCGAGGGCATCTAGTTTCTTTGAAACACAAGCTATCGAAAAAAGGAAAACATAGGAGCATTTAATAAGTAAAATTATATTTTATGAATGAAAATCAATTCTTTAGTGATAAAAATCAAGGCGGAATCAGTCGAGAAGGTTTGTATGAAATAAACATCCCCCCTCCCCTAAATAAAACTAGTTTTTACGGGTTAATGCACGAAACTTTATTTATTTATTGACGTTTCGTAGCCTTTACAGGCTTCGTCGTCAGAATAAAACTTTTATTCTGACGACTTTGATTTTATTTAAATAAATAAAGTTTCGTGCATTAACCCGTAAAAACTAGTTTTATTTAATGAGTAATGTGCGTGAAAACCTAAGAAACAAATATCCCCTCCCCTCTTAAAGACGGTATATCAAAAATAGCACTCACGTTGCCTACCCTGTCCCAATTTCCTACCCTGTAGAGTCCTGGAACCATACTCGCCGACAGAAACAAAACACCACCAAAAGGTATTGTTATTTCTTTAACTGAGGACTGAGGAGCTCGATGGCGCAGGTGGCTAGCGCGTTCGGCTGCGATCGTTGAAGTTAAGCAACTTTCGCAGTGGTCGGTCATTGGATGGGTGACCAAAGATTTACTATCTCGAGCTCCTCCGTGCTTCGGAAGGCACGTTAAGCCGTTGGTCCCGGCTGCATTTGCAGTCGTTAGCACCCACCAATCCGCACTGGGCCCGCGTGGTGGGTCATGGCCCAATCTCCCTATTCCATCCATAGGGAAGGCCTGTGCCCCAGCAGTGGGGACATTAATAGGCTGATGATGATGATGATGATGATGATTTCTTTAACTCTCTCTATAACAACGTTCCCCAACATCTGATTGAGCTTCCACTAACCAAATTTAAATCTCAGATCAAGAATACTCTTATGAATAAGGGCTATTATAAAGTTATATAGGCTATTGATCGTAATGCATGGACATAGTGTTTCTTGTAATTTGTTATTTGATGGGTATTAGTCAGTTTTTGACGTGACAACGTCTTAAATTAGGTTGCGGCTGGGAGTCACTTATGAAAAAGTGTAACGCTCGGTAACGTTACGATGAGTTTAAGTTTACATGTACAATGTTTTAGTAAACAAAATATATTTCTATAGTTAAAATTTGTGCAATTCTTATTTTCATTCAATTCCTTGTTCCTATTGTGCAATTTAATTATATTCATATCAATAAATATTCTACCGAGAAAAAGACGTTGTCACGTAAAATCTTCGCCCGTAAAACCGACTTTACAGGCAACCATTTTTTGTAACAGTAATATGGTACTTATCTAATGCCGCTTCCTTTAAACTAAATATAAAATTTATTGTAACTATATATCTTTATCCTAAATGATGTAATGGAAGGTGACTTCAGAAGTATCTCTGAAGTCATTTTTCAACTTGACGACTCTGTGTATACCAGAAAAGAAACACAAAACACAGGGAGAAAAAAGCTGAACGTAGTTTTGCGAACCGATGGCGTAGCGTCTTGACCTTCACAAGTTCTTGTAACAGCCTAGACTGAATAAATGACTTTTCATTTCATTTCACTGTGTTCTTCTGTAAGGCGGAGGTTGCATCCCAATACGGGCGCTCTCGGTCTGGTTTCACCGGCCATTTTAACTCGCGACAGTGTTTTTTTTGAAACATTGTTTTATTTGCTTACACTTTTATCTCATTGAAAATTTAATAGAGTATAGATCAGATTTAATGTAAGACCGATAGGTACATATCAAAGTAGTACCTATATTTGAAATTATTCGAGCGGTCCGCTATATCCCTTGAACTGATCGTGCTTATTGATAAGTCGCTCTGTTGACTCGGTTGCTGCAAGTCTACGGTTTCAACATTCTCAGTAGTAAAGCTATTTAGTCATAACATAAGGCCTATTTAGTCATAATGCGTAAGAGCGTCCAATTACGTTTGCCCGTAATAAACTTTTGCAAATACACACAGAAAACAGATGTGGCAACTGCACAACTTATGTAGAACCAACTGAAATGCAACGATTAATTACGAAACTCGATTTAAATTGGCGCGTCTTTTTGATATATATGTAACTTATGTTTTTTTAAGCATTTAACTGCTAGATGTTTAAATCTAAAGAAAAGTTTTACTAGAAAAAAATCCACCGCACCCTTCGCAATCCGGGCGAATGCACTGACCATTGCCGTGGTAGCATAATTGGTCAGTGCATTCGCCCGGATTGCGAGGGGTGCGGGATCGAGTCCCGTCCGCTGCCTGGTCCGCGTGGATTTTTTTCTAGTAAAACTTTTCTTTATGTGTAATTTATTTGTTTCGTTTTCACGCACACACCACATTATAAATAAATCAAACTCTGTTAGGTGGAAGTGTAGTGACCCTGCTAACCTCTTTCTGTGTTTAGTATAGATAATATAAAAAAATATTCACCTCTCCATTGAAGATCTCTTCCAATCTCTGTTTGGGATTCTTCCCCTTCTTGGTGCGCACAAGAAGAAAGATCTGGCCTATATCCGGGCATTTCCTGTAAATAAATGAAAGAATTTTCAAATATCTCTACATTTTCTACAAAACAGATGAAAGAAAACTACCATTTGTTGTAAAGAAAAGTTTACTAGAAAAAAATCCACGCGGACCAGGCAGCGGACGGGACTCAATCCCGCACCCTTCGCAATCCGGGGAATGCGCTGACCAATTATGCTACCACGGCCCTTAATTGGTCAGTGCATTCGCCCGGATTGCAAAGGGTGCGGTGGAATTTTTCTAGTAAAACTTTTCTTTAGAAAAAACCATTTGTTGTACTTAATTAATACCCTATGTTGACTATCCCTAAACAGCAGGACACGAACATCGGACATTCCGAAACTTTAAGATAAGATAATAACACTTTATTGCACAACAGCTACATAAAGAACACGAATAAAATACAAAACAAGGCAAAACAATTACAGTTGCACAAAGGGTGGTCTTATCGCTAATCAGCGATTTCTTCCAGACAACCCAATGAGCTGGAAAAAAATATATATATAAAGTACGATAGCAATACTGAGGGAGGTTGTGCGGAATACAAGACAAAAGTACTGAAAATAGCTAGTTAAAAATGAATTAAAATATGCAAACTAAACTTAAAGGCACACACAAACATTCAAACATTTCACAATTTAAGACAACAGCCAGTATTACTAACGTAGCAATATTTTTAAAGACGCTCATCTGAAAAGAAGTGCTCCTTAACTAGGGATTTGAAACAGGCTAGAGTTTGAGCACGCCTCATCTTTTCCGGCAGAGAATTCCATACATGCCATAATTGGATGGCACGTATTGTAAACGAGTGGCTATACGCTTTCGAAAAGTTAGGAGGAGTAAAAATCAGGAGATTATCAGATGAACGAAGCGGAAGATTATGAGAAGAAGAAAGAAACTGAAAACGTTCTTTGAGATAGACAGGAGCTTTTGGATTGAGAACAGTACTGAGAAGAGTAGGGATAATATATGCAGATCACGGCGGCGACGGATGGGAAACTTTGTTAATATATATATTTTTTTTCTAGGAGTATTTATAATCATAATTTTTACATCATTTACATTGGTAATGAAAAGTGACTTCAAGAGTTATCTCATATTGAAGTCATTTTTCAAATTACATAATATAACACCCATCAATCCGCACTGGGCCCGCGTGGTGGTTTGGCTGGATCGGCACACCTGCTGCTCCAGCCATCCTCCATAACACTTAATATCAGGTAAAATGGCAATATTTTGTGATACTTCTTGCATAAAAAAAACTTTTAACTTTAAAGATGCTGTCCAGATATTAGGATCTCTCGATGTAAGAAGACGTTTACTTACCTAATGAAGCAAAAAAAATACAATCTCGCCATTTACTCCCTACTAACCTGAGAATGATGGACAAAAAAATAATAATCAGCAGCTTCTCTATAAGCAAAGGTGCTTATGCTGCTATGGGGAAGGCCCCATGAACTCGATGCCCCCCTCACCTGACGAGCAGCTGCCACCTCGTGAAGGTCACCGCAATCCTGTCTGTTTTCCCCATATCATTCTCACCTCAGCAGCTTCTCTATAAGCACTTTGCCCATGAATCCAGTGTCCCAGGTGACGAGTATCCTCGAATCCGTGAAGGTCTCCGAAATCCTGTCGGTTTTCCCCCTACCATTCTCACCTCAGCAGCTTCTCTATAAGCACTTTGCCCATGAATCCAGTGTCCCAGGTGACGAGTATCCTCGAATCCGTGAAGGTCTCCGAAATCCTGTCGGTTTTCCCCCTACCATTCTCACCTCAGCAGCTTCTCTATAAGCACTTTGCCTATACACCCAGTGGCCCCGGTGAAGAGCAACAGGTGCCCCGTGAAGGTCTCTGCAATCCTGTCGGTATTCTCCCCACTATTCTCACCTCAGCAGCTTCTTTATAAGCACTTTGCCCATGAACCAAGTACCCCCAGTAACGAGCAACCTCCGCTCCGTGAAGCTCTCCGCAATCCTGTCTGCTTTCTCCCAACTATTCTCACCTCAACAGTTTCTCTATAAGCACTTTGCCCATGAACCCAGTGCCCCCGGTGACGAGCAGCCGCCGCCCCGTGAAGGTCTCCGCAATCCTGTCAGTTCTCCTTATTATTCTCACCTCATCAACTACGCTATAAGCGCCTGGCTCACGAACCAAGTGCCCCCGGTGAAGAGCACCCGCTGCCCCGTGAAAGTCTCTGCAATACTGTTGGTTTTCTCCCAACTATTCTCACCTCAGCAGTTTCTCTATAAGCACTTTGCCCATGAACCAAGTACTCCCGGTGGCGAGCATCCTCCACTCCGTGAAGGTCTCCGCAATACTGTCGGTTTTATTCCTACTATTCTCACATCAGCAGCTTCTCTATAAGCGCTTTGCCCACGAACCAAGTACCCCCAGTGACGAGCAACCTCCGCTCCGTGAAGCTCTCCGCAATTCTGTCGGTTTTATCCCAACTATTCTCACCTCAGCAGTTTCTCTATAAGCACTTTGCCCATGAACCCAGTGCCCCCGGTGACGAGCAGCCGCCGCCCCGTGAAGGTCTCCGCAATCCTGTCGGGCATGTCCGCCAGCTCGGCCGCTGAGAAACCCTCGGAAGCCATGCCTCGAGGATCTGGTGGAGACAAAGGAATAAGTTATTATTGGGTGAAACAGAACACTTCCTTTGGTCCATTCTCTTAACTGTTTTTCTTAGCCCAAGCATGAGTTTTTGACAGCTCCGTAATGTATCGTCAAGTTTCTATCAAAAATAAGCTGCGCTCTTATCGGACGTAAGATGAACTAGCTTTACCATACACAATTTGACGATTACGATTGTTTACGGAACTGTCAAAGCTTGTGCTTGGACCTTAGTACCCTTCATCATCATCATCAGCTTATTAATGTCCCCACTGCTGGGGCACAGGCCTTCCCTATGTATGGAATTGGGAGATTGGGCCATGTCCCACCACGCGAGCCCAATGCGGATTGGTGGGTGCTGACGGCCGCAGATGCGGGTTCGAGTCCCGTCTGCTGCCTGGTCCGCGTGGATTTTTTTCTGGTAAAATTTACTTTAGTTTTATAATTAACTAGTGGCCCGCCCTCGCTTCGCTTCGGTGTAGAGCTGTGGTGTAAACTATAGTTTTTGTTCTCAGGCTTGTGCTATAAAGAATGACTTTATTTATATAATTACACGTGTTATTGTGAGTCAACCATAAAAGATAGATATATGCTGTTGCGGGATATTTTTTAGACAATTTTATGTAGAATATTTCCGTCATACATGATTTCTATGTAACTTTAACCATTAAGGCTGCACCCGCGACGGAAGCTTAAAAAATGGAGTAACTTCTCCCGTTTTCCCAACATTTCCCTTCACTACTCTGCTGCTATTGATTGTAGCGTGATGAAAAGTATACTATAACCTGCCCAGGAGTATGAAGAATAATTGTACCAAGTTTCGTTAAAATCCGTTGAGCAGTTTTTGTTTCTATAAGGAACATACACACAGACAGACAGACAGACAAAAATTTTACTGATTGCATTTTTGGCATCAGTATCGATCACTAATCACCCCCTGATAGTTATTTTAAAAATATATTTCATGTACAGAATTGACATCTCTACAGATTTATTATAAGTATAGATAATACTCATCATTGAATATATACATCATATTGTATACATAGGTAACATGTCATTAAATAAACAGAGACAGAAATTTGAGTTACTGATCCAAGCGTCGTCTTCATTTATTGATAAGGGAGATAAAGTATAATCTTTATTTTAAAACCGGAATTCGGAACATTTACTTTACTGTTTCGTAGACTTAGGCTTGTCAGGTGGCCGGGAAATCCGGGATTGTCCCGGAATTTTGCGTGTTGTCCCGAGTCCAGTAATTAGACCTTCATCATCATCATCATCAGCCTATTAATGTCCCCACTGCTGGGGCACAGGCCTTCCCTATGGATGGAATAGGGAGATTGGGCCATGACCGTCCACGCGGGTCCAGTGCGGATTGGTGGGTGCTAACGACTGCAGATGCAGCCGGGACCATCGGCTTATCATGCCTTCCGAAGCACGGAGGAGCTCGAGATAGTAATTTTTGGTCACCCATCCAATGACCGACCACTGCGAAAGTTGCTTAAGTTTAACGATCGCAGCCGAACTCGCTAACCACTTCCGCCATCGAGCTCCTCAGCCTCAGCCAATTAGACCTTATTGTACCATATTCCGATAATGTGCTAGTTTCGCAACAAAATAAACTAATAACGAATGATACCGCTGGCCTGCTTGATGTTTTAATCCTGGGGGGTGATGGGGTTTGATTTGATGTTTTATTTTTTCAGGGGTGGGGTGCAAATGTCCCGGAATTGATAAGCTGGCATCTGGCAACCCTTCGTAGACTTGGCATTCTAGCCTTTAGCCTCCAGCTGAGGTCTGCAACCTTGCAATATATAACTTACTACACCTAGTAAAAAAATAATGTATGCACATAATTTAAATTCTTAAAAAATTCAACTCTTTCGACATTGTATAGTGATAATATTGAATCAGTTTTTCCATTTTATACATATCTTGGTAAAATACGGTCGAAACGGGTTTGAGGGGTTTTTGTGAACATAAAGTTTCTTTCTTAGATGTATCTAATTTAAGCGTGAGGTACCGGTCCGTTAAAAAATTATTTGCTGGAAGAAATTGCTTTTTAGCGATAAGGCTGCCGTTTGTACTATTATGTAATAATCTTAATTAATTGTCATTTAAAATTTGATATGGCGACCTCCGTGGCCGAGTGATTTATACGCCGGGTTTCATGGCGTTGCCAACTCGAGAAGTCCCGGGTTCGAATCCCGGTGGGGGCAGATGTTTGTGTGATGAATACGAACATTTGTACTCCAGTCATGGATGTTTAATATGTGTTTCTATAAAAATATGCTTATATATGTACAATATATGTATTCTATCCGTTACCCTAGTATCCCATAACACAAGCCTTTACAGTGCTTACTTTGGGGCTAGGCTAATTGGTGTGTGTTGGAAATATTTATTTATTTATATATGTTTCTTAATTCATGGTGTACAATAAAGTGATCATTCATTCATTGCACCATTTGACGATAGTCAAAATGAGTTATATTTTGACAGTGACAATTAACAAGCAATTAACTGTCCAAGCGAGACCATTAAAGTTAAATTTTAACTAGCTTCGTGGTGCAACACACTCAATGAAAATGTATATGCGTCTTCTTGCTACGGTTTCAACACCAGGGTTTCTTGGATGACCTTTACAGCGTCACGTCACGTTTACGGGGTCGGCTCAACTGGGGCTCTAGTTCTCTCAGGCATGTATTATAGAAAGACTAGCTAGTGAACCAAATATTCACCAAAACCTGATTTAAAAATGTATTTAATTAATTGAGAACTTCGGAGATTTTCTGTGGTTTCGTTTGAAATAGAAATCACGTGATTTCTCGAAAACCGGAAGTGCTACGTTACTCAAATCCGGTTTGTAGTCTTATCAGACTATTCCTAACTTATAACTTAAATATTCTCTTTATCTATCTCTTACGGTTTGGCCTCTGAAACAGCACCACAGACAGACGGACGGACTTGTCTAATAGATAAGAGATTTTCAGTAATTAATCTAGTCTACAGCATAGTCAGAAAGGGATGTCCCTATATATAGCACATAGCGACATCCCTTTCCAACTGTACTCAAATAAAGATCAACGTTGTCATTCTGTAATACGAACCTTATACTTGCCCTCCTAACTGTCAATCTCCATTGTAATTTGGAGAGTCATGCTAGAGTTGACACAAAATGCTAATCTTTATATATATAATTCTTCTGTGAGTGTGTATGTCACTGAACTTCTCTTAAACGACTGGACCGATTTTGATGAAATTTTTTGTGTGTGTTCAAGGGGATCTGAGAATGGTTTAGATTCACAATTTTGTCCGCTGGACAATGTTTTTTTAATTAAATTTTTTTATGGCGGTACGAAGTTCGCTGGGTCAGCTAGTCTATGTATAGAATGATTGAAACTTATTTTATAAATTATATTGTGCAATTGTTTAATAATTAATTTTAAATAGATAATAACCCTCTAAAATTGCTGTACCCTTGCAGGGCGTCACATGGTTACTGTATTAGTTATGTTCCACGTTATTTTTGTGAATGTGATATGCAAAGAATAAATATGGGAAACTGCCCAATCATTGGCACTCTTCCTATTATTGGCACTTTTGAGTTTAGTTCGAAAAAACCAGGAAACAATAGATTGTAGAAATAATGCTGCCAATTTTTAAATTTCGAAACCATACTAGGTTTTTCTTTTTAATATGTAACGACCTTGAATAATCTATTGTCTCCTTGTTTTTCCGAATTAAACTCAAAAGTGCCAATAATAGGACGAGTGCCAATGATTGGGCGGTTTCCCCTAAATAAATAAATAAATAATTTGACGATTGACCGTGATAAAAACGAATTATTTAACTTAACGTGGTGCTCATAGCTTAATATAAATAACACTATTTGTATTTATACTGTATGAAACAGCAATCAAAATGCAGGTAAACAATTAATGTGTATTTAATCATTACGTAATGAAAGGTGAATTCATGAATCAACTCTGAAGTCATTTTTCAACTTGACGACTCTGTAAATAATAATACAGGGGAAAAAAACTACCGTTGCCGGTTATTCTCAGTACAAGGTCTCCCACCGAAAATTTACGAACTGATGGCGTAGCTTCTATACATTCATGAGTGCTTGTCACAGCCTAAAGTGAAGATAAATGATTTTGATTATGATTGTAAAAGCAAAATGATTTTTAAGATAATAATATATAACTCGTTTTTGTCACGCTCAATTGTCAAAATACTATGGACGACAGTTAGACGCGATAAAAACGTGATATAATGTAAATTGTAGTGTTCATACTACGGGAACTGGAACTCGGCTCTAGTTGGAAATTATGTCGTAGTGGTTGCCTTATTATTGCCGCCAACAACATCATTGCAGGCGCCTTTTTTTCCTAAATGGCTTCGCACGGCTTGTGCATTTAGCCAATGTCAAGTATTAAAATGTTTAAATCTAAAGAAAATATAACTAGAAAAAATTCCACGCGGACCAGGCAGCAGACGGGACTCGAACCCGCACCCTTCGCAATCCGGGCGAATGCACTGACCAATTATGCTACCGCGGCCCTCACGGACCGCGTCGAAATTCTTTCTAGCTATTCTTAAGCTGCAAGGCAGCGCCATCTCTTCGCATTATAGGTAAACCCACAATGTCAAATGAATACTTTTACAAGTATTAAACGTGAGGGCCGCGGTAGCATAATTGGTCAGTGCATTCGCCCGGATTGCGAAGGGTGCGGGTTCGAGTCCCGTCTGCTGCCTGGTCCGCGTGGAATTTTTTCTAGTTATATTTTCTTTAGATTTAAACATCAAGCAGTTACATGCTTTAAAAATAATAAAAATTATAACTATTAAAATGTTTACAAATTCTTTAGCACTCGTGGTCAAAGTAATAAATCAAGTCAAAGTTAGTGGCAGTCAAGTCAATCCCCCTTTCCCTATGTTTCATGACTTCTTGAGGGAACGTCGAAAGACACTTTCCGCTATTTTGTT